ATAGTGTCATGCTTTAAATCGCATGTGTTCAAACAGAATGTGCTCTTTGAGTAGTAATTTATAGTGTTTTCTAGTAAATCTTGGATAACTTAGATTTAAATTTGTGATAAACGATTATTTGATTTCCAGTTATATTTCCTCTAAATCCTGTCTCCCTTATTTCTGTCTTGTCCTTTGTATTGTAATATATTTGCCTGAGTAGATCCTTGAATTTTTAGCTTTAAATCGTGTCATAAATCTGGTGTCTATTTCTATGCATGCGTCTTGTCAGCCTAGCAACTTAAGGAACTATCATAGAAAGGCAAATTTTCCAGTAACGGAGCATACCTTTGTATGTTCCTAATGCATGGAAGAGTATAGTATGTCACACATAAGTGTAATGTTGTCAATATATTGTAATGAATAACTGATGTTTCATTGGAAATGTTTAAACTGACCTGCCACATCACAAGTTACTGTTCTCTTGGCAATCAGCCATCCATGGAACATGGGGACAGATGTCAGTGCTTGCTATACTCAGAGCTTTTGCCTCTAACCATTGCATGCGTGTGTATAATAGATGGAAAATTTAGGATTTGAAAGGAGGGAATGATTGAAGCAGAGCCATAGGCTTTAGATGGAGGAAAAACAGTTTTTTCTGATATGGAAGGCTAGAACTTAGTAAGCACTGCTCTCTGCCAGGTGCCAAACTCAGTACTTGGCCATTTTTTTGCTATATTTAGTCCACAAGCACATCCCCGTGAGAAACCAGTTGCTGTGCTTGCCCCCAATTACAGATGTGGAAACTGAAATTTAGATCACATGATGTGCAGAGCAGGTATAAGTTAAGTCTGTTTTGATTCCAAAACCAGGACCATTTCTCCCTTGAGCCTAGATTTTTCAAGATGTTCTGATCTGCTGACAGTCTCCTTCTCAGAGGAAACCTTGGAAGTAAAAGCGGTGCCCTGAAAGCAGTGGGGATTGCGGAGTTTTCTTTCTGTCAGTCTAGAAGCTCCCCCTAATGCCTGCTGCCTCTGGCCCTGTGCCATGCCCGCTTCATGCTTCCTGCCTTCCTGGTGGTGCACTTGTGGGGCAGTGCTGCTGCAGGTGCCAAGTGGTGATTGTCCTCAGCAGCTGTGTGTGAGCTTCTCTATGTGGCTTAGCAGAAGTGTAATTTAGTAAGGACACAGGTACAGATCCTCACTCTGTTGCTGATTAGTTCCTGGCCTGGGAGCTGTTCCTTGGCCCAGTGGAACCATGGCTTGCTCTCTTGTAAGTGAGGTAGTGATCCACACAGTAGTGCTGTTTGGAATGGCCCTGATCTGTGCCCGCCCAAAGTGAGATGCCGCGCTTTCACCAGCAGCCGGCCTCAGAGCTTACCTCTGTTCAGTGGACTTCAGTGTGGTTTGGATATTTTGGTTTTGGCAGTAAGAATTTCTCAGCAAAGGAAGCAGTCTGTTGACTTAGACTCAGACACTGTAGCCTCGTCTTGTTCACTAGTCATCTCTCCTCAGCATGCAGCCTGGTGACTTAGAGGAGACTTGCTCTGGGCTGGCTATGAAAATTAGCCTAGCAATGAGTCTAAGGACAGCAAATATGGACCAGACAAAGACTGGTATGGGATGGTTACTTTTACACTTTAGTTTTACCTGGCAGAGCGAGGTGACTTCTTGGCACTTGTAGAAAGGTCTGAGACAAGGCAGTGGGTCCTAGCCTTGGGTTTCCTCTCACAAGAGAACAGAGGCAGAATGAAGGCCTGGTTCAATGAGCCTAGAACGCTCTGGGCAGAGCGGGGCCAATGTAGGGGAGTCTTGGTGCAAGAATCTCTTTTTGTGGGTGGAGCATAAGTATAGTGCCTTACCTCTTCTTTTTTCTTTTCTATTTTAACAAATGATTGTTTTAACCTGAAATTTTAAATGATGCCTGGTAAACAACATGGTCTTAAGTTTGATTTTTGGGTCCCTCCCAAAAATATTTTTGAACTTTTATGATTCTTGTTAGTAATTTCAAGCATGATGGCCTTCTTTAGAGATGAGATTGCTGGACGTTAAACACGGGGCCTTGAACATAATAAGTAAGCATGCTCTGATTACCCCAGCCCACAGCAGTCTTGTTTTGTTACTACAATTAGAAATGAGAGTCAGACAAGGTGGTATATGCCTGTAATCCCAGCACTCAGGAGGCTGATACAGGAGGACTGCTGGAGTTTGAAGCCAGCCTGGACTACAGTGTGAGTTCATGGCCAGCCAGAACTGTATAATGAAACCTTATCTCAAAAAAGAGAGAGAAAGATACAGAATTTGTCTGTTTATCTGTTAAGATTATATCATATGTTATATATCCTAATTTAAGATTGTATCCTAAGTTAACATTGTATCCTATGTGATTTTAGACTTGCAGCCTCTAGAACTGTCAGAAATAATTATCTGTTGTTTATTAATACCCAGCCTATGACTATGGTAGTTTTTTTTTTTTATAGTAGCTGGAAGTGACTGGGAGAGGGAGACTGCTAACAACATAAAGCCTCCTCATCTAGATGAGCATGAAACTAGATTCCACAGTGCTTAAAAATAGATAATACTAAGACATGCTTACAGAGATGACTACTCACAAACAGGTGCCTATTTCACTCGATCACAAATGGGTGGAGAATCTGCCAAAACTGCCAAAATAAGTGAGCATGATACTTAGAGACAGATTAACATCCATAGTAACAGGGACTGGCGGTAAAACGAAGCAGGTATGACAAAAAAACAACTTGGAATCTAGTAAATGAAACAGACCTTAGCTAGAATGATACAGTCTGTTGTGGACACGGTCAAAGACGGAGCATTGGCAGTAAGTCACCAAAGGTGAGCCAGATTGCAGCAAGAGAGACAAAATGAGAAAAATTCAAGGCCCTCAATTCAGGCAGGCCTAGAGGCAGGACCACCTATTGATGTGATAGGTGTGTGAATAGAATTGATTTGATTTTTGACTTAGAGTAATTAGAGTCTACTTTTCTTCTACCTGCCCCAGAATCTTTCTGATAAAAGATTCCATTAGAGAGAGGGCACACTCTGTCAGGAATGGTACTTATTAGGTGACCTGACAGTGAGCTCTTGCTTATCACCATGGCCGATGCCAGTTAGTACCTCGATCAGGGCCGTGTTGGCATCTACAGGAGAAATCTGTACCACAGGGAAGAGCTCACACTTAGTAGAGAACATGACAGAAGTCTAGATGGCCGGCTGGCCAATACCCTTTCCCCTACTGCTTCGCATCCACAAGTCCCATTCCTGAAGGTTGGCTTTGGGCCTATGAAGATGTCTCAACACTGGCTGGAACTCTGTCAGGTTTTAAGACACATTTGGATGATTTTTACCTGGTTGGCAGGCAGGAGCAAGCAGACCCTATGTTAGTGGCCTTGGTGAGGGGGCATTTGAGTGTGAGGAGACAATCCTGCATGGCAGGTCCAGGGAGCAGAGCCTGTGTTGTTGGCCTGGGGAAAGGACCTTACCTTGTTGGCCTGGGGGAAGAAGGGGCCTTCAGTTGGTCTGGATATGAGAATCATGTGTTGCTAGCTGGGAAAGAGAAGGCTCTGCTGGCCTGGGGAGAAGAATCTCTATGTTGTTATCTGGGGAGCCACCATGGTTTTGGCCTGGTGAAGGGCCCTGTGTTTTTGGCTGGAGGAGTCCGCTATGCTGAGCTGGGTGGGGGAGGCAAATAGAAGTCCTAATTCAAATACCATGGACTCCTGGCCTTATTCCTGATATTTCTTGAATAGATAATTTCCTCATTTGCTGTTATCCTTTGAGCCATTTCCAGAAGCTTTGAAGAGTGGTTTTCATCATTTCAGGTCTCCCTGGGGAGCAGGCTGCAAAGTTCCTGCCAGGCTAAGTTCGGCTCACCCACAGTCGTGATTTTTTGGAGAAGAAAAACTAGTTTAAAAGAAATTTTGCTCTTTTCCAGTGCTTTCTGTGGCAGTGTCATCTCTATTTCTCTCTCACTTTACTTGCCCAATCTCACTGTGGCTCACATAGGCACATGAGTCGTGGTCTGGTTAAAGCAGACTTCATGGGCCTGTGCTTTCTGTGATGAGATTGACTGTGAGCTGCAAACAATTGCTACCAGTGCCCTGTAAGAGCATCGCCTGTTTTAAACTAGCTTTCTAGAATTATCTAGCTCAAGCACATGTTCTTTTGAAGGACTGATTATTTATCCGGTAGATCTTTATTCTTGTCTTTTAAAGGAAAAGCACCTAAAGCCAGAAACACTGGCAGATGATTTTACTTATTTCAGAGTTGCTTTGCTCCAAATTCACATTGCTCAATTCAGTTCATTTGTGGTATCTGTGAACCGGTGTCATAACACAAGGTTTAGCACAGAACAGTGCTGCAGGACTCCTGCAGCTTCTCTCTGCCTTTTGCAAGATCTCCTACACTGCTGCATGCATAGTGTTTTGAGAATGCCTTTACAGAGAATACAAAAGGCTTCCTAGTCCTAGCAGTAAGCCCATTCTTCATAGTTGACTTTGCTCCAATGATTCAGGGAGACTATAGGGACTAAGGGAAAATCAGAATAGAGAGGGGACTAGAATTGGATAGTGACCTTCTAGGCCTTTTTTCCTTGATTTCTCTAAGGGCTCTAGGTCTCAGATCTGTGACTGACTTACAAATGTCTTCAGATGCTTCATTTTGGGATGCCAATTGAGGAAAATGCTTTTATTTCCTGAAGTCTAAAGAGGTGGACCTGGACACTCATTATCCCCTGCTGTGCTTTCAGCAGTGCCAGGGTGGAGGGAAGTCAGATGGCCTGGGTTAGACTCTCATTCCATTGGGAATACCTATGTCACCTTACGGCAAATGGTTGATCTCCATTTCTCTGGAGGAGAATGGGAATCCTTTGCCATGTATCTTGAGATTGGGCTGCCTGTGTGTGTGGACTATGAGGCCAATGGAAGTCTTGCTTAAGAGGTTTTTTTTTTTTTTAAATTTATTCATGTATGTGTTGATTTATTCCTTTACTTTGCTGCTTTGCAGGAGTCTTCAACGCTTGCAAAAGAGCTCAACATTTGCAGGGAACAGCTGCTTGAGAAGGAAAAAGAAATTGCTGAACTGAAAGCAGAAAGGAACAACATGAGGGTCAGTGGAGCTCTGGTTTAAGTGTTTTGTGCTTTTTCCTTCTGTAGAGTGTGTTCAGTATTAAATGTTGCTTAAAATTTGTGATAGAAGGCAAAGCATGGTGGCATATGCCTTCAATCCCAACATTCTGAGCCAGGAATGTCTTGAGTTAGAGGTCAGCCTGGGCTAGCTAGTAAGTCCTCAAGCCAGCCTAGACTACAAAATGAGACCTTCTTGTTAATAAAAGAAATTAGTGATGGAAATTCATGACATTCGAATACAATTGAGGGAAATTTACCTAACTCTACTGAATTGTAGGAATTTGAACTTGTTTGACCATGAGATTATGAAGGATTTGAATGTGAAATTGAAGGTGCTCTTTACACGCCCCCTTTGGCCTGGTTTCAGCTGCTCCTGGAACATCTGGAGTTCCTTGTCTCCAGGCATGAACGCTCTCTCGAAACGACTGTGATGAAGCGGCAGGCGCGGTGTCCTGCAGGTGTGTCCACAGAGATGGAAGTGCTAAAAGCACTGACATCCTTATTTGACCACCACAAGACCCTGGACGAAAAGGTACATGAGCTACACTAGTGGTTCTGGGTTCTTACACTTGCTGGGTTCATGGCAGACTTTGCATGTGTTTGTTTACCTTTAAGGTTTGCTAAGTTTTTGAGTTCTTGTAAACAGACTTTCTGTATTAAAAGGCAATGTTCTGCATAATCAACAAACACTAACTGGAATGTGAGTCTTCAATTGATTATTTCTGAATATTGACTGCCCATTAAGAACTGGATAGTGTTCATTTATTTAGGAACAAGAGTTTCCCGGCCTTAATATTTAAAGCCATTAACAAGGACATTTTCTTGACAGTACTAGCAATGAAAGACATTGAAAGTACTTTATTATATGCCTTTCATCAATATCAGGATAACTATATGGAAAGTGTGCGTATGCATATAAAAACTCAACTCTTTTCAGGTGCGAGAGCAATTACATGTAGCACTGCAAAGGTGCAGCTTGCTGGAAGAGGAACTGGGCGCCACGCAGAAGGAGGTAATTGTGGGACATCATCCTAGCCCTGAAAAGGGAAAATTATTTTATTTTAATCTCTTAAAAAACAGTGTGAAGCCTGTAATACTATTGGATTAGATTTTTATTTCAGATTGCAAGAATCTCTAAATTTGTTGTCAAGCAGTCAGTACATTCTGTTTCTAGTAATCTGGTTCTGCTATGGATGGTCAGCTTTGGCATGTACTGTCTTTTTTATACTATGTTCAGCACTGTAGAATTATGTTTTTCCAAATGGAATTTTGCTGTCTTTACTCATTACTCTTCCATAAGTTATTGTAGTCTCATACTCAGTTTTCGATTGTAGCTAATGACTCTTAAAAAACAGAATAATGAGAAAAAATCACCAAGAGATGGAGTGCTTGACCATGAACAAGAAGAAACACCAAGCACTAGTGGAAAGGTAAGTCCTTGAGATCTCTCTTTGTTCTGTTGCTGATTTCTTATATTTTGTGGTTCGTGTGTGATGCTGTTTGGATGCTGTTGCTGGAATGGCCTGCTTCCAGCTAAAGTGATTGTTGAGAGTCCTATCATCCAACAGATGGCATAAATCCATTTTGATAGTCCCTATGTTCAAAAGTATTTTATTTGGTAGTACACTAAGGTTATTTAAGAGTGTCCATTTTACCCATCAGAGATCTTCTGCTGGCTCCTTAAGCCATGAGGAAGACCTTGCCAAAATAATTGTGCTCCAAGAAGTCATACACAAACATTCAAAAGAGCAGAGTCAGATGAAGGAGCTCCTGGCTGCACTTTCCAGCCATGTGTCAGAGCTGCAAGAAAATCTTGACACAGCAAGAAAGGATCTCATCAAGTCTGAAGAGATGAACAAGAAATTGGAACAAGATGTTCATGAAATAAGTGATAAAAATTACAGGGTTGTCATAATGTTGAGTGCTTGGAGTGTTAAGGATAATGATTCCTTTTTTTTTTTTTCCTTTCCTTGGTCGGTTATTTTCAGCATTTGCACTGTTGAATGAGTATAAATATGAATAATACAACACAGTATTGCTGTCAGATCGTGACATACCACCTCCCCCTGGTTGAGAAATTTCTCCTTTTCTGTGGTCTTTTAAAAAGGTAGAGGAGAACTTGCCCAGCTTTTCCCACTTAGTTTATGGGAGTTTGTCCTCCACCCTCATGTGGATTCTTCATCTTTGCAGCTTCTTGGCTGTCATCATGTGTTCTTCTTTATGTTCAGCTTCTCAAGTACATGCACTCCTTAAACAAGGATTTTCAGTACTAGTTGTGCTTTGAGTTCGCTAAAGAGATGTGAGTATTCTCTGGGACTGTGGCAAAGGGAGCATTATCAGGTGTCTTCTAATTTTTTCATATTTTTCCTCAGGCACAGAGGTATGGTATTGAATTTTGGATGTTACATCAGCTCTAATGTGTGAATAGTTTTTGGGTAGTTTAGGCTTTGTGCTTATCTTGCCTATGAGATCTCATTTCATGTGAAATTGTATTTACAACATTCTGCTTTGCACCTGTACTTGTATCTTTGGTTTTATTTCTCTTGCTATACATTTTACTTTTTAGTGGCATTCTTAGCCAGAATATTAATCAAATTAAGCAAGTCATTTTAGTGGAATGTTCAGTGTCAGCAGTCTGTTTTGTGACATTTGGATGTATTTATAATTTATACTGTTAACTAACTGAGCAATATTTTTCTTTTCTTTTCCTGTTTTTTTTTTTTTTTTTTTTTTTGGACATATTGGGTTTGAACCTAGGGTTTCTCACATACTAGGCAAGCACCAAACCACTCACCAAACCATTTTCTTTTCTTTTGGTACTATGAATTGAACTCATGATGTTCTGCTTGACAGGCAAGTGCTATGCCATGGAGCTATATCCCTGACCCTTTTTCTTCTTTTCAAACTTATTTTATTTATTAGTGTTTAGTTTTTTGAAAAAAGGATCTTGTGGTGTAATTCAAGCTGGCCTTGAACTCATGGCAGTTCTCCTGCCTCAGCCTCTCACATGCTGGGATTACAGACATGTGGCACCAAGCCTGGCATTGTATTTTCATCTTTTTGACAATCTCATTTATCAGTTGTGTCCTTCTTTCCAGTATTTGTAAAAGAAGTGCAGCAACACATCTGTAATCCCAGCTACTTGTGGACTGAAGTGGGAGGTTTGCCAGTTTAAGGTCAGCCTGGGCAATTTAGGAAGACACTGACTCAAAAAGAGCTGAGTATCCCAAGCATAGTGGGTGAACCCTATCTTTCTAGCTACCCAGGAGACTGAGGCAGACAATCATAAGTTCAAGGGTAGGCTGCCCAATTTAGCAAGACCTTGTTTTGAAATTAAAAGGAAAAAAATATGGGACCATAGCTCAGTGTTAGAGTACCCCTGCCTTCTATTCCCAGTACCACACACAACCACGGAGGAAAACTCTTTCTTCCTGGTTCTCTAATTCAGCATGCTGGCTGACGGTCTGTGTGCTTCCATTGTTGGTTTTGATTTCTTATGCCACCCTTGTGTTTGTTTTATTTTAACCATCTCCAGATTCAATTCTAATCCAGGCCTCAGGTCCCTATCAATTTGTAGTTTGTCCATGAAGCTCCCCTCTCAGCCCCTCCCCATTCTGTGATGGCTCTGCACAGCTAACCAGGCAAGCACGTGTGAGTCTGAGCTGGATTATGACTGATTAGTGGGGCTTGGGGTTTTTGTCATTAAAAATGTATTTTGCTCAGTAGTGATCAATTATATTTAATATATAATTTGTCAATGTGGTTACAAGCAAGATATAATTGGTTGAATGTTTTTCCTTAGATTGTACAGGATCTGCATGATTCATGAGTGAAGTATTTCCTAGGTTAAAAAATAATCTGGGCTCACTGCAGTGGCACATGCCTGTAATGCCAGCTACTGGGGAAGCTAAGAAGGAGGATTTTAAGTCTGAGGCCAGCATGAGAAGTTTAGCAATGTGCTATGTCAAAATAAAAATATAAACGTGGCTGGCAGTGTAGTTTGTTGAGTGGCCCAGCTGGATTCAACCCTGCATACTGCAGGAGCAAGGGGAGGGGCCACTGCTGAGTGTAAAATTTATGGGAACTTTATACAGACAATACGAATCAGATTTTATTGATTATAATCAGAATTCTAAATCTCATCAACTTATAGGGCATATGCTATAGTCTTTAATGGACTACTTTTTAATTAAAATGCCTCCTATCTAGTACTGTGCTAGCTTTTATTGTTACGTATTTTAGGATGCCTAGCTTTCTTTCTTTTTTTTTTTTTTTTTCCATTCCATTCCACTCCTTTGTATTCCACAGTATCTCGGATGGAATCTAGGCCTGTGCACTGAGATACACACATGACCCTTTTTTTTTTCAGTATTATTTTTTATTGTGAGACAGGATCGTGCTAAATCACCAAGATGAGCTCAAACTTGGCAGCCTTCCTGCCTCAGCCTACCAGAGTGCTGTGATTTCATGTGTATGCCACTGCACGAGGGATAAATGATATATTTTAGGAAGTTGTAAATCATATTCTAGGTGAAGATTTTACTGCATTGCACAAAAAAATGATTAACTAAAAATAAGTTTGTTCAGTTTTTTGTGTTTTTCTGAGACAGGATGACACCATGCAGTTCAGGCTGGCTTTGAACTCATGTAGTGCAGGTTGGCAGTTCTCCAGGCTTAGCTTCACAAATGCGGGGATTACAAGTCTGCACCACCATGCCTGGCTCTTCAGTTTTATAATAGATGTTGCTGTAACATCCTTGTCATCATGGGAATATTAGAGAGTAGGTGGTTATCAGGGCCCTTTGTTCTATACAGTGTCTTGCTTTAAATCGCATGTGTTCAAATAGAATGTGCTCTTTGAGTAGTAATTTATAGTGTTTTCTAATAAATCTTGGATAACTTAGATTTAAATTTGTGATAAAAGATTATTTGATTTCCAGTTATATTTTCTCTAAATCCTGTCTCTCTTATTTCTGTCTTGTCCTTCATATTGTAATATATTTGCCTGATTAGATCCTTGAATTTTTAGCTTTAAATCGTGTCATAAATCTGGTGTCTATTTCTTTGCATGCGTCTTGTTAGCCTAGCAACTTAAGGAAACATCATAGAAAGGTAAATTTTCCAGTAAGTGAGCATAGCTTTGTATCTCCCTAATGCATGGAAGAGTATAGTATGTCACACATAAGTGTAATGTTGTCAATATATTGCAATGAATAAGTGATGTTTCATTGGAAATGTTTAAACTGACCTGCCACATCACAAGTTACTGTTCTCTTGGCAATCAGCCATCCATGGAACATGGGGACAGATGTCAGTGTTTGCTTCACTCAGTGCTTTTGCCTCTAACCATTGCATGCATGTGTATAATAGACATAGAATTTAGGATTTGAAAGGACGGAATGATTGAAGCAGAGCCATAGGCTTTAGATTGAGGAAAACTAGTTTTTTCTGATATGGAAGGCTAGAACTTAGTAAGCACTGCTCTCTGCCAGGTGCCAAACTCAGTGCTTGGGCATTTTTTTGCTATATTTAGTCCACAAACACATCCCTGTGAGAAACCAGTTGCTGTGCTTGCCCCCAATTACAGATGTGGAAACTGAAATTTAGATCACATGATGTGCAGAGCAGGTAGGAGTTAAGTGTGTTTTGATTTCAAAACCAGGACCATTTCTCCCTTGGGCCTAGATTTGTCAAGATGCTCTGATCTGCTGGGAGTCTCCCTCTCAGAGTAAAACTTGAAAGTAAAAGCAGTACCCTGGGAGCAGTGGGGATTGTGGGGTTTTCTTTCTGTCCATCTAGAAGCTCCCCCTAATGCCTGCTGCCTCTGGCCCTGTGCCATGCACGCTTCATGCTTCCTGCCTTCCTGGTGGTACACTTGTGGGGCAGTGCTGCTGCAGGTGCCAAGTAGTGATTGTCCTCAGCAGCTGTGTGTGAGCTTCTCTATGTGGCTGAGCAGAAGGGAAATTTACTAAGGACACGGGTACAGATCCTCACTCTGTTGCTGATTAGTTCCTGGCCTGGGAGCTGTTCCTTGGCCCAGTGGAACCATGGCTTGCTCTCTTGTAAGTGAGGTAGTGATCCACACAGTAGTGCTGCTTGGAATGGCCCTGATCTGTGCCCGCCCAAAGTGAGATGCCGCGCTTTCACCAGCAGCCGGCCTCAGAGCTTACCTCTGTTCAGTGGACTTCAGTGTGGTTTGGATATTTTGGTTTTGGCAGTAAGAATTTCTCAGCAAAGGAAGCAGTCTGTTGACTTAGACTCAGACACTGTGGCCTCCTCTTGTTCACTAGTCATCTCTCCTCAGCATGCAGCCTGGTGACTTTGAGAAGACTTGCTCTGGGCTGGCTGTGAAGATTAGCCTAGCAGTGAGTCTAAGGACAGCAAATATGGGCCAGACAAAGAGCGATATGGGATGGTTACTTCTTCATTTCAGTTTTACTGGGCAGACTAAGGTGACTTCTTGGCACTTGTAGACATGTCTGAGACAAGGCAGTGGGCCCTAGCCTTGTGCTTTCCTCCCACAAGAGAACAGAGGCAGAATGAAGACCTGGTTCAGTGAGCCTGGAAGGCTCTGGGCAGAGCAGGGGCTAGTGTAGGGGAGTCTTGGTGCAAGAATCTCTTTTTGTGGGTGGAGCATACGTATAGTGCCTTACCTCTTCTTTTTTCTTTTCTATTTTAACAAATGATTATTTTAACGTGAAATTTAAATGATGCCTGGCAAACAATGTCCTAAGTTTGATTTCTTTTTCCCTCCCAAAAAGTTTTTTTGAACTTTTATGATTCATGTTGTTGATTTCAAGCTTGATGGACTTTTTTAGAGATGAGATTGCTGGCGGTTAAACACAGGGCCTCAAACAAGCTAAGTAAGTGAGCTCTGGTTACCCCAGCCCCCGACAGTCTTTTGTTTTGTTACTACAATTAGAAATGAGAGCCAGACAAGGTGATATATGCCTGTAATCCCAGCACTCAGGAGGCTGATAAGGGAGGACTGCTGGAGTTTGAAGCCAGCCTGGGCTATCATGTGAGTTCATGGCCAGCCAGAACTGTATAATGAAACCTTATCTCAAAAAAAAGAGAGAAAGATACAGAATTTATCTGTTTATCTGTTAAGATTATATCCTAGCGGGCTGGAAGTTTAGCTCAGCAGCATAAACACCTGCCTTGTAAGCAGGCAGTCGTGAGTTCGATCCCCAGCACCAATAAAAAGGAAAAAGACAAAAAAAAAAATTATATCCTAAATGCTCTCAGCTCACACTAGTCTAGGTGGTCTTCAGTGAGCTGCTACAGGACTATAATGGAATCTGTATCCTTTATACCATTGTACAGATAAATAAATTAACTATTCACCACTTGTTGTTCACCATGAATGTTTCATGAAATCTAGTCCTGCTTCAAAACCCAAAAATAACAACCTTCTAAACAGGGCCTAACCAGACCCTGAAAGAGTTCACATATGCACTATTTCCACAGTCCTGCCTTCCTCAACACATAGGCATACTCATGGGCCATCCCCTAAAAGAAATCCCAGGGTCTGCGTGACCCTCTTTTAATAATATACCCAGGATTATTATTATTTTTTTATTTAAGGAGAAAAAGAAAAAAAAAACAGAAAAAGGATACAAGTGATACAGAATTTCAAAAAAAAAAAAATAAACAGTAGGAAGTCACTAGTTAATAGATTACATACTGTCATCTTAGAAATGGTTGTTCAGATTACAAAATTAAAGCATATAAAGTAGACATTCAAACTGTGAGACTACAAACAATTCTGTTCAATGATCCCACAAAAACTTAGCAATATGGTTATCTATCTTATACACTTAAATATACATGCAATTATATCCTTTAGAGCACTTTCTTTTCCTCTCTTTTTTACTATGACAATTATACATTTTGGGTTTTATTACTCCCACAGTTCTTATTACTTTCTATTTGAAGAGAATAAAATCCAATGTGACATAACAAAACAGAGTCAGTCAAATCAAAAGAATGGATATAGTACATAATATAAAAACGGAAGACAAAGTGATGATCATTGGTTACCATAATGCCTCTTGCTATCTTAAAAAGAATTGCCTATATCATCAGTTATAATAAAACTGAAAACATTAAAGAACAAAACCAATAAAAGCAAAACATTGGAGACATTGCAGGACTTCAAAAAAAGATAATATGCAAACCCAAAACCCAGGATTATTTTATGAAGCCACATGGAAGGAGGGTTTTAGGCTGCATGCAAATGCTTCTGCTCATAACATTTGGTCCACACAGTGAGAAACAGAAGCCACACACATGCATATTTGGGTCTTCGCTCATGCTGTCCTTGTCTTGTTTCTTGCTAGAGGTAAAAGTATTGACAGTTTCCCTGAGGCTTCGGCCCCCACTAGTGTTCCTTTGAGTGACATCAGTAACTGAAGATATGTGTCACAGGCTCTTCAGTAATGAGAGTAACTTTGTTAACCTGAAGTGATAAAGTGCAGTGAACAGGCTTCGTTTAGGACTTCACTGTCCCTCAGTAACTATCCTCAGAGGTACCTGAGGTTGTACGGAGAACAGAATCTTGAAGGGGGGGTGATGCTGTCCCTGGGCTTCCCGGGGCTTCCATGAAGGAAGGCTATAGGTCAACCTGCCCTGCTCTCTCTCTGCTATGTGGTCCATTTCCCCCAGACAAACAGGCCTTCAGGTTGGCATTCAATTAAAATGAGACTTCTCAGGACAGGTAGAAAGTTTAGCTAATAGGTTTTGAGTCAGTTTATGTTATTTAAAGCCTATGTGATGTGTTTTCTTATAATGTACTGTTAGCTGATGTTGTTTTTTCACTCCTCAGTTGCTAGCTTGCAGAGAAGAAGAACGAGATGACAAGACAACGATAAAATGTGAAACTTCCCCTCTCTCCTCTCCGAAGTCCCTTCAGCTAGACAGGCTGCACACAGGGGCGTTGCAAATAGTCAGCCACGAGGACATCAGGGACATGCAAAAGTAAGGAGCAGGTCTCGTAGGCCACCAGACCCCTGAGAAACCTGCTTGTCTTAGTTTTTAAGAACATCTATTAATCTTTTCCTGTGAGAAAAACCAAGTTTTTAAAGAATTCTCAGCAAGCTCATTTGGTTGTGATTATTTAAACGTTAGACCTAGAATGTGTTCTCCTGTTCTGCGGCTGTAGTGACATCCAGTGGAAAGGGCCATCTGTTTGGGCAAAGTTTAGAAAGAATAGGAATTATTTGAAATTAGCACTTGAGAGAAAAGCTCCATTTCTTCAGATCCCACACACTCACTTCTTTTAAGAACTTTCTTTCTATTCCTGGTGAAGAATTTGCCACACGGATGTGGCAGGTTCTGGATCGTGCTATTCTGTGGACAATCGGTGCCTCTCAGGTACCCTCCCACACTCTGGGTCTTCTAAGCTCTTGAGAGTCCCACATTGTCCCTATCCCTTTAGGAAGCATGTTCCATCAGGAGGCCATGAAGGCTTGGTTACTTATAGACTGTTGTTTTCCACACTTCCTCTTAGAAGCTTTTGTTCCATACCAGGCAGTATGATCAAGCAGGCACATTGGTCTCCACAGTGTCCTGAGCGATAGTACAGCTCTCACTTTGCAGGAGAGCAGGATCCAAGGAACCAGCCTGCAGGAGCTGCTGAGAGGGAAGGTGGAATTCCAGTTCTTCTGGCTTCTGAGACCTTGTTCTCTTTCCTGAGGGCTGAGTGTAAACCTCACTGGCTGAGCAAGGCCCCTGCAGAGGGTGTTCCCTTAGATGTCCAAACCAGGCAGGCTAGAGTACAGGCCTCCTCTGAGCAGGGAGCAACATCAGAATCTTGGCTTTCCAGACATAGGTCTGTGGAAGCATTACTGGGACCCTGCATTGCTATGCATAGTGTGCTGTGGGTAAGAGACTGGAAAGGATCTTCAGGGAGTTGAAGTAGGAATATTAAAAATGCAGACAGTTTTGGTACATGTGAGTGGACTGTGGAGTTCTAAAGAGGGCATGTGGTAAAAGTCCATTTTCTTTCCTTCAAGATCAAAAAGTGCCCAGGATGGTCCTGTGAGCAATCCCAGTAGCAGTGACAGCAGGCAGGACTCGCCCCACAAAGCCCCAAAGAAGAAGGGCATCAAGTCCTCCATTGGTCGTTTGTTTGGCAAAAAGGAAAAGGGTCGGCCTGGACAAACTGGCAAAGAATCACCAGGACAAGGTGGGTGGCGTTTTGGCAGCTGTCCTAACTGCTGGGAATGGGAGAACGTGAACTTTGTCCTGTGTGCCTGCCGCAGGTGCGCAGTGCCCACGTGGAGTCATGGCTGAGGGTTCTCCAGAAAAGCCCAGTCTGCTTTCTCAGTCTGCCCATGTGTGAACCAAAGCAGAGCAGTGGACATTCATTTGGCGTGAATGAATAACCCTCATAAGTGCTACTTTACACTCTTGAACATTTGTATGTGTTTGCTTGGAAGCTTACACTTCAGAAATTATTTAGCTCTCTACCTGCAGAACCTTCAACCTATTTGTGAAACATATAACTTTGCCATGTTAATTTACTGTAAATTTGGGGGCTTTTCTGATTTTTTAATAGCTGTTCTTTCTGAAACAGAAACCTCATCTCAGGATGCGTTCCAACTTAGCAAATTGGGAGGAAAGGCTGAAAAAAATCGAAAATTTCAAAAAAAGTAAGCTTTTTGTTATTTCTCCATCTCATGAAACAGGTTTCTGAGTTAACAGTAATTGTTAGCTGATTTTAAGTGTAATTTCTAGCTATGTAAATACATTGTCTTTTGAAAGATGAACCTAAAGCAGTGATAGAGCTTTCAGTGATACAAAGAGCTTGCTGCAGCATGCACGCGATAGGTTTGCCTCCATTGACTTAAAGCCTGTTTTAAGCCATCATGTCTGGAGAACAGAGGACATTTGGAAATTTGGACTGAACTCACACATGTATTCTCAGTCTACCTTTTCAGAGTTGTCTCCCAGGATGATAGAATGGGTAATAGTTAGGCTTGGCCATTTGAGCTCTGGCCGCTGAATCCTGGTTAATTCTCTAGTTAGCTGTGTGTCTCTGACAAAGTTACTTATCCTGTGCTTCAGTTTTCTCAACTGCCAAATGGCAGTTACAGTTGTTCATACATCATGTGGCTGTTTTTCAGTTCAATAGAATTATATATGTGCATGTATATGTTTTATAACATGGACACAATTCCTAAATAAGTTACAATTACAGTCAGGCTTCTGAGACCTTGTTTTCTTTCCTGTTGACTGAGTGCATCCCTCAGTGCCTGAGCAAGGCCCCTGCAGAGGGTGTTCCCTTATGTGTCCCAACAAGGCAGGCTAGAGTACAGGCCTGCTCTGAGCAGGGAGCACATCAGAATCTTGGCTTTCCAGACACAGGTCTGTGGAAGCATTACTGGGACCCTGCATCACAATGCATATTGTACTGTGTGTAAGAGACTCGAAACGTTTTTTAGGAAGTTGAAGGTAGGAATATTAAAAATGCAGACTGTTCTTGTACGTGTGAATGGACTGTGGAGCTGGGAAGAGGGTGGTAAAAATCCATTTTATTTCTTTGAAGCTCAACAGGCTCCCAGGAAGGTCCTGTGAACAATCCCAGTACCAGTGACAGCAGGCAGGACGCGCTCCACAAAGCCCCAAAGAAGAAGAGCATCAAGTCCTCCACTGGTCGTTTGTTTGGCAAAAAGAAAAAGGGTCCACCTGGACAAACTGGCAAAGAATCACCAAGACAAGGTGGGCCCGTTTTAGGCAGCTGTCCTAACTGCTGGGATTGGGAGAGCATGAGCTTTTTCCTATGTACCTGCCACAGGTGTCCAGTGCCCACAAGGAATCATGGCTGAGCATTCTCCAGACAGCCCAGTCTGCCCACATGTGAACCAGAGCAGAGCAGTGGACATTCATTTGGCGTGAATGAATAAAACTCTTATATGCTAATTTATACGCTTGAACATTTATATGTGTTTGCTCGGAAGCTTACACTTCAGAAATTATTCAGCTCTCTACCTGCAGAATCTTCTTCCTATTTGTGAAACATATAACTTTGCCATGTTAATTTACTCTAAATTTGGTGAATTTTCTTCTTTTTTGTAGCTGTTGTTTCTGAAACAGAAAACTCATCTCAGGATGCCTTCCAACTTAGCAAATTGGGAGGAAAGGATGAAAAAAATCATCAACTTCAAAAACAGTAAGCTTTTTGTTATTTCTCCATCTCATGAAACAGTTTTCTGAGTTAACAGTCATTCTTAGCTGATTGTAAGTGTAATTTCTAGCTATGTAAATACATTGTCTTTTGAAAGATGAACCTAAAGCAGTGATAGAGCTTTCAGTGATACAAAGAGCTTGCTGCAGCATGCACGCCATAGGTTTGCCTCCACTGACCTAAAGCCTGTTTTAAGCCATCATGTCTGGAGAACAGAGGACATTAGGAAGTCTTGACTGAATTCACACATGTATTCTCAGTCTACCTTTTCAGAGTGTTCTCCCAGGATAATAGAATGGGTAATAGTTAGGCTTGGCCATTTGAGCTCTGGCCGCTGAATCCTGGTTAATTCTCTAGTTAGCTGTGTGTCTCTGACAAAGTTACTTATCCTGTGCTTCAGTTTTCTCAACTGTCAAATGGCAGTTACAGTTGTTCATACATCATGTGGCTGTTTTTCAGTTCAATAGAATTATATATGTGCATGTATATGTTTTATAACATGGACACAATTCCTAAATAAGTTACAATTACAGTCAGGCTTCTGAGACCTTGTTTTCTTTCCTGTTGACTGAGTGCATCCCTCAGTGCCTGAGCAAGGCCCCTGCAGAGGGTGTTCCCTTATGTGTCCAAACAAGGCAGGCTAGAGTATAGGCCTTCTCTGAGCAGGGAGCACATCAGAATCTTGGCTTTCCAGACACAGGTCTGTGGAAGCATTACTGGGACCCTGCATCACAATGCATATTGTACTGTGTGTAAGAGACTTGAAACGTTTTTTAGGAAGTTGAAGGTAGGAATATTAAAAATGCAGACTGTTCTTGTACGTGTGAATGGACTGTGGATCTGGGAAGAGGGTGGTAAAAATCCATTTTATTTCTTTGAAGCTCAACAGGCTCCCAGGAAGGTCCTGTGAACAATCCCAGTACCAGTGACAGCAGGCAGGACGCGCTCCACAAAGCCCCAAAGAAGAAGAGCATCAAGTCCTCCACTGGTCGTTTGTTTGGCAAAAAGAAAAAGGTTCTGCCTGGACAAACTGGCAAAGAATCACCAAGACAAGGTGGGCCGGTTTTAGGCAGCTGTCCTAACTGCTGGGATTGGGAGAGCCTGAGATTTTTCCTATGTGCCTGCTGCCGGTGTCCAGTGCCCACGAGGAGTCATGGCTGAGCGTTCTCCTGACAGCCCAGTTTGCCCACGTGTGAAACAAAGCAGAGCAGTGGAAATTCATTTGGCTTGAATGAATAACCCTCTTATATGCTAATTTATACTCTTGAACATTTATATGTGTTTGCTAGGAAGCTTACCCTTCAGAAATTATTCAGCTCTCTACCTGCAGAATCTTCTTCCTATTTGTGAAACATATAACTTTGCCATGTTAATTTACTCTAAATTTGGGGGCTTTTCTTCTTTTTTGTAGCTGTTGTTTCTGAAACACCAAACTCATCTCAGGATGCCTTCCAACTTAGCAAACTGGGAGGAAAAGATGAAAAAAATCATCAACTTCAAAAACAGTAAGCTTTTTGTTATTTCTCCATCTCATGAAACAGTTTTCTGAGTTAACAGTCATTCTTAGCTGATTGTAAGTGTAATTTCTAGCTATGTAAATACATTGTCTTTTGAAAGATGAACCTAAAGCAGTGATAGAGCTTTCAGTGATACAAAGAGCTTGCTGCAGCATGCACGCCATAGGTTTGCCTCCATTGACCTAAAGCCTGTTTTAAGCCATCATGTCTGGTGAACAGAGGACATTTGGAAATCTTGACTGAATTCACACATGTATTCTCAGTCTACCTTTTCAGAGTGTTCTCCCAGGATGATAGAATGGGTAATAGTTAGGCTTGGCCATTTGAGCTCTGGCCGCTGAATCCTGGTTAATTCTCTAGTTAGCTGTGTGTCTCTGACAAAGTTACTTATCCTGTGCTTCAGTTTTCTCAACTGTCAAATGGCAGTTACAGTTGTTCATACATCATGTGGCTGTTTTTCAGTTCAATAGAATTATATATGTGCATGTATATGTTTTATAACATGGACACAATTCCTAAATAAGTTACAATTACAGTCAGGCTTCTGAGACCTTGTTTTCTTTCCTGTTGACTGAGTGCATCCCTCAGTGCCTGAGCAAGGCCCCTGCAGAGGGTGTTCCCTTATGTGTCCAAACAAGGCAGGCTAGAGTACAGGCCTGCTCTGAGCAGGGAGCACATCAGAATCTTGGCTTTCCAGACACAGGTCTGTGGAAGCATTACTGGGACCCTGCATCACAATGCATATTGTACTGTGTGTAAGAGACTTGAAACGTTTTTTAGGAAGTTGAAGGTAGGAATATTAAAAATGCAGACTGTTCTTGTACGTGTGAATGGACTGTGGATCTGGGAAGAGGGTGGTAAAAATCCATTTTATTTCTTTGAAGCTCAACAGGCTCCCAGGAAGGTCCTGTGAACAATCCCAGTACCAGTGACAGCAGGCAGGACGCGCTCCACAAAGCCCCAAAGAAGAAGAGCATCAAGTCCTTAACTGGTCGTTTGTTTGGCAAAAAGGAAAAGGGTCCGCCTGGACAAACTGGCAAAGAATCACCAAGACAAGGTGGGCCGGTTTTAGGCAGCTGTCCTAACTGCTGGGATTGGGAGAGCATGCGCTTTTTCCTATGTACCTGCCACAGGTGTCCAGTGCCCACAAGGAATCATGGCTGAGCATTCTCCAGACAGCCCAGTCTGCCCACATGTGAACCAGAGCAGAGCAGTGGACATTCATTTGGCGTGAATGAATAACACTCTTATATGCTAATTTATACGCTTGAACATTTATATGTGTTTGCTCGGAAGCTTACACTTCAGAAATGATTCAGCTCTCTACCTGCAGAATCTTCTTCCTATTTGTGAAACATATAACTTTGCCATGTTAATTTACTCTAAATTTGGTGAATTTTCTTCTTTTTTGTAGCTGTTGTTTCTGAAACAGAAAACTCATCTCAGGATGCCTTCCAACTTAGCAAATTGGGAGGAAAGGATGAAAAAAATCATCAACTTCAAAAACAGTAAGCTTTTTGTTATTTCTCCATCTCATGAAACAGTTTTCTGAGTTAACAGTCATTCTTAGCTGATTGTAAGTGTAATTTCTAGCTATGTAAATACATTGTCTTTTGAAAGATGAACCTAAAGCAGTGATAGAGCTTTCAGTGATACAAAGAGCTTGCTGCAGCATGCACGCCATAGGTTTGCCTCCACTGACCTAAAGCCTGTTTTAAGCCATCATGTCTGGAGAACAGAGGACATTAGGAAGTCTTGACTGAATTCACACATGTATTCTCAGTCTACCTTTTCAGAGTGTTCTCCCAGGATGATAGAATGGGTAATAGTTAGGCTTGGCCATTTGAGCTCTGGCCGCTGAATCCTGGTTAATTCTCTAGTTAGCTGTGTGTCTCTGACAAAGTTACTTATCCTGTGCTTCAGTTTTCTCATCTGTCAAATGGCAGTTACAGTTGTTCATACATCATGTGGCTGTTTTTCAGTTCAATAGAATTATATATGTGCATGTATATGTTTTATAACATGGACACAATTCCTAAATAAGTTACAATTACAGTCAGGCTTCTGAGACCTTGTTTTCTTTCCTGTTGACTGAGTGCATCCCTCAGTGCCTGAGCAAGGCCCCTGCAGAGGGTGTTCCCTTATGTGTCCAAACAAGGCAGGCTAGAGTACAGGCCTGCTCTGAGCAGGGAGCACATCAGAATCTTGGCTTTCCAGACACAGGTCTGTGGAAGCATTACTGGGACCCTGCATCACAATGCATATTGTACTGTGTGTAAGAGACTCGAAACGTTTTTTAGGAAGTTGAAGGTAGGAATATTAAAAATGCAGACTGTTCTTGTACGTGTGAATGGACTGTGGATCTGGGAAGAGGGTGGTAAAAATCCATTTTATTTCTTTGAAGCTCAACAGGCTCCCAGGAAGGTCCTGTGAACAATCCCAGTACCAGTGACAGCAGGCAGGACGCGCTCCACAAAGCCCCAAAGAAGAAGAGCATCAAGTCCTCCACTGGTCGTTTGTTTGGCAAAAAGAAAAAGGTTCTGCCTGGACAAACTGGCAAAGAATCACCAAGACAAGGTGGGCCGGTTTTAGGCAGCTGTCCTAACTGCTGGGATTGGGAGAGCCTGAGATTTTTCCTATGTGCCTGCTGCCGGTGTCCAGTGCCCACGAGGAGTCATGGCTGAGCGTTCTTCTGACAGCCCAGTTTGCCCACATGTGAAACAAAGCAGAGCAGTGGAAATTCATTTGGCTTGAATGAATAACCCTCTTATATGCTAATTTATACTCTTGAACATTTATATGTGTTTGCTCGGAAGCTTACCCTTCAGAAATTATTCAGCTCTCTACCTGCAGAATCTTCTTCCTATTTGTGAAACATATAACTTTGCCATGTTAATTTACTCTAAATTTGGGGGCTTTTCTTCTTTTTTGTAGCTGTTGTTTCTGAAACACCAAACTCATCTCAGGATGCCTTCCAACTTAGCAAACTGGGAGGAAAAGATGAAAAAAATCATCAACTTCAAAAACAGTAAGCTTTTTGTTATTTCTCCATCTCATGAAACAGTTTTCTGAGTTAACAGTCATTCTTAGCTGATTTTAAGTGTAATTTCTAGCTATGTAAATACATTGTCTTTTGAAAGATGAATCTAAAGCAGTGATAGAGCTTTCAGTGATACAAAGAGCTTGCTGCAGCATGCACGCCATAGGTTTGCCTCCATTGACCTAAAGGCTGTTTTAAGCCATCATGTCTGGAGAACCAAGGACATTTGGAAATTTTGACTTAACTCACACATTTATTCTCAGTCTCCCTTTGCAGACTTGTCTCCCTAGTGGACAGAGTGGTTAAGAGTTAGGCTTAGACATTTGAGCTCTGGCCGCTGAATCCTGGTTAATTCTCTAGTTAGCTGTGTGTCTCTGACAAAGTTACTTAGCTTGTGCTTCAGTTCTCTAAACTGTCAAATGGCAGTTACAGTTGTTCATACATCATGTGGTTTTTTTTCAGTTCAATAGAATTATATATGTGCACGTATATGTTTTAAAACATGGACACAGGTCCTAAATATGTTACAATTATAGTCAGGCTTCTGAGACCTTGTTCTCTTTCCTGTTGACTGAGTGCATCCCTCAGTGCCTGAGCAAGGCCCCTGCAGAGGGTGTTCCCTTATGTGTCCAAACCAAGCAGGCTAGAGTACAGGCCTGCTCTGAGCAGGGAGCACATCAGAATCTTGGCTTTCCAGACACTGGTCTTTGGAAGCATTACTGGGACCCTGAATCACAATGAATATTGTATTGTGTGTAAGAGAGTTGAAAAATTCTTTAGGAAGTTGAAGGTAGGAATATTAAAAATGCACACTTTTCTTGTACATGTGAATGGACTGTGGAGATGTGAAGAGGTTGGTAAAAGTCCATTTTCTTTCCTTCAAGCTCAACAGGCTCCCAGGATGGTCCTGTGTGTGTTCCCAGCAGCAGTGACAGCAGGGAGGACCCACTCCACAAAGCTCTAAAGAAGAAGAGCATCAAGTCCTCCACTGGTCGTTTGTTTGGCAAAAAGGAAAAGGGTCCGCCTGGACAAACTGGCAAAGAATCACCAAGACAAGGTGGGCCGGTTTTAGGCAGCTGTCCTAACTGCTGGGATTGGGAGAGCATGCGCTTTTTCCTATGTACCTGCCACAGGTGTCCAGTGCCCACAAGGAATCATGGCTGAGCATTCTCCAGACAGCCCAGTCTGCCCACATGTGAACCAGAGCAGAGCAGTGGACATTCATTTGGCGTGAATGAATAACCCTCTTATATGCTAATTTATACGCTTGAACATTTATATGTGTTTGCTCGGAAGCTTACCCTTCAGAAATTATTCAGCTCTCTACCTGCAGAATCTTCTTCCTATTTGTGAAACATATAACTTTGCCATGTTAATTTACTCTAAATTTGGGGAATTTTCTTCTTTTTTGTAGCTGTTGTTTCTGAAGCCGAAAACTCATCTCAGGATGCCTTCCAACTTAGCAAATTGGGAGGAAAGGATGAAAAAAATCGTCAACTTCAAAAACAGTAAGCTTTTTGTTATTTCTCCATCTCATGAAACAGTTTTCTGAGTTAACAGTCATTCTTAGCTGATTGTAAGTGTAATTTCTAGCTATGTAAATACATTGTCTTTTGAAAGATGAACCTAAAGCAGTGATAGAGCTTCCAGTGATACAAAGAGCTTGCTGCAGCATGCACGCCATAGGTTTGCCTCCATTGACCTAAAGCCTGTTTTAAGCCATCATGTCTGGAGAACAGAGGACATTTGGAAATCTTGACTGAATTCACACATGTATTCTCAGTCTACCCTTTCAGAGTTCTCTCCCAGGATGATAGAATGGGTAATAGTTAGGCTTGGCCATTTGAGCTCTGGCCGCTGAATCCTGGTTAATTCTCTAGTTAGCTGTGTGTCTCTGACAAAGTTACTTATCCTGTGCTTCAGTTTTCTCAACTGTCAAATGGCAGTTACAGTTGTTCATACATCATGTGGCTGTTTTTCAGTTCAATAGAATTATATATGTGCATGTATATGTTTTATAACATGGACACAATTCCTAAATAAGTTACAATTACAGTCAGGCTTCTGAGACCTTGTTTTCTTTCCTGTTGACTGAGTGCATCCCTCAGTGCCTGAGCAAGGCCCCTGCAGAGGGTGTTCCCTTATGTGTCCAAACAAGGCAGGCTAGAGTACAGGCCTGCTCTGAGCAGGGAGCACATCAGAATCTTGGCTTTCCAGACACAGGTCTGTGGAAGCATTACTGGGACCCTGCATTACAATCCATATTGTACTGTGTGTAAGAGACTCGAAACGTTTTTTAGGAAGTTGAAGGTAGGAATATTAAAAATGCAGACTGTTCTTGTACGTGTGAATGGACTGTGGAGCTGGGAAGAGGGTGGTAAAAATCCATTTTATTTCTTTGAAGCTCAACAGGCTCCCAGGAAGGTCCTGTGAGCAATCCCAGTACCAGTGACAGCAGGCAGGACGCGCTCCACAAAGCCCCAAAGAAGAAGAGGATCAAGTCCTCCATTGGTCGTTTGTTTGGCAAAAAGAAAAAGGGTCCGCCTGGACAAACTGGCAAAGAATCACCAAGACAAGGTGGGCCGGTTTTAGGCAGCTGTCCTAACTGCTGGGTTTGGGAGAGCGTGAGATTTTTCCTATGTGCCTGCTGCAGGTGTCCAGTGCCCACGAGGAGTCATGGCTGAGCGTTCTCCTGACAGCCCAGTCTGCCCACGTGTGAAACAAAGCAGAGCAGTGGAAATTCATTTGGCGTGAATGAATAACCCTCTTATGTGCTAATTTATACGCTTGAACATTTATATGTGTTTGCTCGGAAGCTTACCCTTCAGAAATTATTCAGCTCTCTACCTGCAGAATCTTCTTCCTATTTGTGAAACATGAAACTTCGCCCTGTTAATTTACTCTAAATTTGGGGGCTTTTCTTCTCTTTTGTAGCCGTTGTTTCTGAAACGGAAAACTCATCTCAGGATGCCTTCCAACTTAGCAAATTGGGAGGAAAGGATGAAAAAAATCATCAACTTCAAAAAAAGTAAGCTTTTTGTTATTTCTCCATCTCATGAAACAGTTTTCTGAGTTAACCATCATTGTTACCTGATTTTAAGTGTAATTTCTAGCTATTGTAAATACATTGTCTTTTGAAAGATGAACCTAAAGCAGTGATAGAGCTTTCAGTGGTACAAAGAGCTTGCTGCAACATGCATGCCATAGGTTTGCCTCCATTGACCTAAAGCCTGTTTTAAGCCATCATGTCTGGAGAACAGAGGACATTTGGAAACTTTGACTGAACTCACATGTGTATTCTCAGTCTTCCTTTGCAGAGTTGTCTCTCTAGATGATAGAATGGGTAATAGTTAGGCTTGGCCATTTGAGCTTTGGCCGCTGAATCCTGGTTAATTCTCTAGTTAGCTGTCTGACAAAGTTATTTAGCTTAGGCTTCAGTTTTCTCAACTGTCAAATGACTGTTACAGTTGTTCATGCATCGTGTGGCTTTTTCTCAGTTTGATAGAATTATATATGTGCATGTATATGTTTTAAAACATGGACACAAGTCCTAAATAAGCTATAATTAAGGTCACTGTGGTGACTTCTATTGTTTACACAAGTGGTCCTCCAGAAGCATTTACCGTGATATAATTTTACATTTTATCTGAGATTGGATCTCTACTTTACAGTGTATTATTGAACTATAATCCTCTACTAAATCTTAAGGGGCTGAGGAGTGGAGTATAAGTGAGAGCGTACTGGCTTGACATACCATCCCTAGGCCCACATAAAGATAGATTCTGAAAATAATATATACTGTTCCGAATGATTTTGCATAGGGGAGCACAGGCACCAACATATCAGGGAAGTATGTACACTTCTCTGATGTAGGATTGGTTGTGTAAGCTGATCACACCCAAAACTAGAGTTATAAGTGAACTAGATAGGTTGAGACATTTTCCTAGTGAGATGATTAATAAAATATCAATCAAAAAGCTTTCTGCAACAAAATCAGACAGTATGTAATGTCTAAGAGGTACAATTTGAACTTGACAGTAGGGAAAGTTTGAAAGCCTAAGGTAAGATGGGCACACTGGTCTTGAGAAAAGGTGAAAGTTGGTGGGTTCTTGGATAAATTTGTATATGGGAAACATCAGGTGTCCACTTCTCAGTGAAGCCAGTACTGTGTGGAACTCAGAGTGCAAAGGCCCTGACACTAGCATTGCACTCGAATCCCTAGGAACCCTTTCTGCTGGAAAGTTATGAAATCTCACTCATTTTAGTTGTCTTCTCTGAATTCATGACTGCCTTTTTTTTTAAACTTCTATTGGTATGTGTTTGCAGTACATAATAATCATGTTGGTTCTTGGGAGTTGATACATGTCCATGACACATTTCTATTCTTTATTTTCCACCATCCTTGTATTTTGCCAGAATCCCATTCATGCATTTCTCTTATAAACCCTTGTCATGTATACAGATTAAAAATAAGACTATTAAAAAGAAATATATATATATAAGATATATATATCAATATCAATATATATTATATATATATATATATATATCAAACATACCAGACTATAAGCCAAAACACATATAAAAGATGGAACACAGTTGTACTAAGTCGAAGTATTCCTTTAGATATATTTTCCATGCTGAGTTACAATAACTTTTTTCTTCTATTGTCTGTCTTTTATTTCATAGCTAACTTATATATGAAGTTTTTCATATTATAATGAGTCTTTTGTTTTTTATTTTATTCATTTATTTTTTGAGACAAGAATCACACTTTGTAATTCAGGCTGGACTGAACTCACAGCAGTCCTCCTGATTTAGTTGCCCAAGTGGTGGGATTACAGGCATATGCTACCGCACTTGGCCATAGTAACTGTTTTAAGCAGCTCAACAGTGATGACATGCCATTGCAGGTGAAATTCTGTTATGGAAACATTCTATACAAATACTCAATCTTTGGTGCTCTGTAAATAGAATTTTATAGTACCATTTAACCACAAAATCTGAACTGTGTAAAAGTCTTTTATAATAATTTAAGCAATGAGCAGTTGGCTTTGTGGAGCTTAATATTAAAGCTAGTCATTTTCCCTCTCGAAACCATGCTAAAGAAATAGTGTTGCCTAGATTTTGCCAGTGTCTTTTATTTCACGTGCTCATTTCAATGTAATAAAAACAACAGCAGCACAGCTTGATCATTCACCCCATTGCCTTCTGAAGTTTATGTTTCATGGAAGAGAAGAAATAATTTTCCTAATATGTTTGGCTATTTTGCTGGGGATGTGGCTCGGTAGTGTAGTACTCTTAGCATGCATTAAGGCCTTAGGTTCAATCCCCAGTACCACAATAAAAGCAAAAAACAGAAAACCAAAATGTTTCCCTGTTGTAAAAATTGACTTTCTAACTCTCAAGAAGTGTGTGTTCACCCTCAGGACAGGCTTTGAATTATTTGCCCAAACACATGATTAAATTGCACACCAGGCATGCATGTTTACAGGTTTGTGTGCGTGCGCGCGCGCGCGCGCGCGCGCGCGTGTGTGTGTGTGTGTGTGTGTGTGTGTGTGTGTGTGGTGGTAGGGAGGGAGATTTTTCGGTAGCAAGGAGATTCAAGTTTATGCTGCTTACTCCAAACATCTGTTGTGGCTGTTTCAAGGTGTCTAAGAATGGGTCTTTGCTCTGTACTTTATAGTTCTATGTGGGATGCATATGTGATTTCTCAACCATAGTAGAAAGTTCATAGGGAAAATTCTAAAGTAGTCATCTGACTATGGTGGGCAGTTTTGTGATATCTGTCAGATAACCTGAATTGTAATTGATTTAAAGAAAAAAAGTATTTTGTGAATACAGGGTACAGTTTAATACTTTGAGCATTATTGTTTTGTTTTGTTTTGTTTTTTTGTTTTTTTTTTTTGTTTTTGTTTTTGTTTTTCTGAGACAGGTCTCACTATGCAGTTCAGGCTGGCTTTGAGCTCACTTTGTAGCTCAGGCTGACCTCAAACTCACAATGATCCTCCTGCCTCAGCCTCTCAAGTGCTGGAATTACAGGCATGCACAACCACATCCAGCTACTTTGAGCATTCTTGATGTAATAAAAAACTGTTCTGTGAATACAGAGTACAGTTCAACACTTTGGTACTTTCTCAGAAATACAGTACTTCTTGTGATGAGCCCTAACTTGGCTGTAGGCCATGCTCCTTGCCACTGAACCACTAGCCTATCACATTGACTGAAGGAGGGTTCCCAGGACTCAGTGCACACGTTGACCAGCTGAACTCATGCTCTCTGAGAATTACTGGAAGAATTTGATGCTCTGCTGACACTTGAGGTGCTCAGTAGTCAATGCAACTATCAGCATGACTCAGACTGGAGTCCGTTCATCAGCTCATAGAATGCTGTGTGAAGTTTCAAAACATGGATCTCCAACTCACCTTTGTCTTTGTAGTGCTCTCCTTCCGGTTGCGTGGCATTGTGGTGCATTTGCTGTGGGAAGTTGGTTACACATGGAGCCATACTCAGTGGTACTCTGAATCATATAGTGTGGAGTGCTGGTGTTACCAGCTTTGGGTTCTCTGCTAAACTTCCCAAGAGTATATTTCTGTTTGGTGAGAAAAGTTGCTTCCATTCCTCACTTGTCAAAACAACACACTGGTCCCCAGTACTCTTCCTCACAGTGTGACTAGCATGTGAAATGTGAGCCTGAGCTGCAGCCATGAGAAAGGGTCTCCTTAGCCCTTGTGCAAGACCCCTGAATTTGAAAAGTGTCCCATCTCTTGGAAATACAGTCATGTATTTACTATGGAGAGTTAAAGTTCTTGCTATATGTCACTTAGATAATGTTTATTCTGCAGAAACTCGCACAAGCTTCTTGAAATGAAGGGCAGCTTTACCATTGTGCTTTTGCCTACATTATAAAATATATCATAATTCATAGATTACATGACATTTTTTGTACCAGGGATCAAACTCACAACCTCACACTTGCCAGGCAGGCCCTTAAGCTGCTGAGCTAAATCCCTGGCCTTCACGTAACTTTTATTTTACGCATTTGTTCCCCAGAGAATTTAGTGTATTTTGGTCCAAGAGAATACAGCATAGCTGTAGAACACTTTCCTAGTATGCTAAAGCCCTGAGCTCCATCATTAGTATGACAGAATCTAAAATAGCTGCCTCCTCCAACAGTATGTATGTATGTATGTATGTATGTATGCATGTATATACATGTTGGTGCTGCAGATCAAACATAGCACCTTGTGAAGGCTGGGCAAGTGCTTTACTAATGAGCTACACTCAGCCCCCAGTCTCTAATTTAAAGGCAGGAAGGTTCCCATATCAGTTTGCATTAGAGAAGATACTCTGTGTTTGTGTGTGTGTGTGTGTGTGTGTGTGTGTGTGTGTGTGTGTGTTCGTTTCTTTTCCTTTTTTGGTACTGGGGATCAAACTCATGCCCTTGCACTTGCCAGGCAGGTGCTATGCTGCTGAGCTAAATTCCTGGCCTCCTTTTCTTTTTTTAAAAAAGGGTCTCACTGTGTTGTTCAGGTTGGACTTGAAATCATTATGTAACCCAGGCTGACTTTCAGCTCATAGCAATTCTCCTGCCTCAGCTTCCAAAGTGCTGGGATTACAGGTGTGTACCATCATCCTGGCATTAGAGCAGATATTATAAAAATCAACCCTGGTGTCTAGTGTTTGGTTCTATGGGAGAAGCTATAAGCTGAAGAAAAGAAGCTCTGACAATGTCAGGAACAGAGCAATCTAGTGCCCAGCCACCTTCTGCAAAGGGCCCCAGCTTGGCCTGCCTGTCACATCTATTGGGATATGATATCTCACAGCCCAGGAGCAAGCAAATATCAGAAGAAACCAAAGGGGTTTTCTTCTGGAGTTGATGGATATGACACATCAACATCTAGGATTACTGACATATTATTCAGATGCCCTTGGTGGCTATTCAGTGTGGACAGATGATGGACATTCTGCAGAGTATGCCCCCCCCCACACTGGTTACTATGTTTTTATTTGCTCTTTTTAAATTTTTCCTTTTTTTCCCCTGGGGGCTCCTTATGTAGTCCAGACTAGCCTTGAATTCATGGTAATCCTCTTGCCTTCATCTCCCACATGCTGGATTATAGATGATGCCACCATACCCAGCTTGATTACCTTGCTTGAAGCTTTGGGGCTCAGAGCTGGAAGAGTTATTATTTGGGAAGTTGAGCAAGAAAAGAATGAATGTTGCTAAAGCTTAAATGTTTGCAGCTTTAGTAGAGGGGGAGGAAATAGGTGGTTCTCCTATTCCAAACTAATCATATGGGTAGACGGATAACCTTACCTAAGTGGATAGTCAGGTAGGTGAGTAAACACTGTGAAGCCATTTAGTTCTTGGAGGTCACAGATTTGGACAAATGGGTGTCTGTACTAAGTATGTGCAGTAGCAAGCAAAAGAGATCCAGTTTCAATACCCAGTGTAAAAGGAAGGTAGTTGTGCATATCACCAAACATTGCAAAGAGCCAGAGTAGAGGTGCGCAGAAGTGTCTGCAGGCTCCAGATTCTGCATCTTAACACAGGATCCTTCTGTACACTTTTGGGAACAACTCTCAAGAAAACTGGACTCTAATGTGCCCACCTATCGTGTTAACCAAGGTTAGGTGCCCAATCTCGTAGTCCTCAAACTACCTGGTAGGGGAGGTGTAGCTACCTGTAGGTGGAACTTGGGCCAACTCCCCAGCCAGGGTCTTCTGTGTTATTTCCTAACATCCCATGACTTTTGAATGCATCATCCTACTTCTGCTACCTTCACACCACTCCCACTGCTGCATCTGGATGCAGGTATAAGGAGGAGGAAGGATGTAAAGGCAACAGCAGTTTATACCAAGCTTCAGGTAGTGGGCCTTGTTCTTGTTTGCAGTACATGTCTGGTATGTACTTTCACAAATTACAGCTGTGCAGTGGTATGTACCTTTAATCATCCGAGCTACCTGGGAGGTCCAGGCAGGAGGGTCATTTATGATGACAATGCCATTGTTCTAGGCAACTTAAGAAACTGTCTCAAGATAAAAAGTATAGTACAAATGGCTGGCGGTTTAGTTCAATGAGTGCTTGGTTCCATCCCCAGTACCATCAAAAATAATGAAAATACCAACAAAATCATTTTTAGACTACTGAGGACATAGTTCTTACTTAGTCTATTTGAATAGGCACATAATCTAGAAGTGCTTCTGACCTACAGCAGTAGTCTTCCTCTTCCCTGGCCTGGCCAGAGCATCTAGGACAGACCCTCACTTAATATTACAGAATTTCAGATCTTTACCCAGAAATGGATTTACACTGCTTCTTGGGGTCAGTCTGTCTGTCTGTCTGTCTGTCTGTCTGTCTGTCTGTCTCTCTGTATGTTTGTCACACACTCTCTCTTTCTCTCTCTCTCTCTGTGTGTGTGTGTGTGTGTGTGTGTGTGTGTGTGTGTGTGTGTGTTTTTCTTGTTTCCTTAAATGAGTCATAGCAGCTCTGTAGCCAGGTTTGGTAGCTGTCTTAGTTACTTTTTACTCATTGCTGAGACAAAATACCTAAAGGCCAAGTTGGGAAAGGAAAGGTTTATTTCTTACAGTTTTTGGAGGTTTCACACACTCAGTTGGCTCCAGGGCATGGCTGGGCCACAGTTCATGGTGGCTGCAAACAGCAAGCAGGAACAGGCAAAGAGCAAGACACACCTTCTCCCTGCCATTACATTACATCCTGGCTCCACCCCTCTGTGGGTATAGCACTGACACCATCAATCCAAGCACTAACAATGAACCATCACAAATGCACAATACAAATACATGAAGCCTGGGGGCCCACAGACATAAACCATGACATTCCTCCCCTGGCCCCCAGGACTCTTGTACATCCTTTATACAAAAGACATTTAGTCCACCACCAAGAGTTTCCAAAGTCTTAAGTTTCAGCATTGCTGAACAGTCCAAGTCCCATGTCTCCTCCATGATCTATGGCAAACTCTTAACTGTAACCCCTGTACAAATGAAACAAGTTTAAACATTTCTCAAATGCAAAGGCACAAAATAAACATTACTATTCCAAAAGTTACAAACAGGGGAATATAAAGCATTGGAAACAAAGCAAATCCAACATCCAGCAGGATGAACATTAAGTCCTGGAGTTCCTTGCTCTGCATCTGAAGCAATATGGTTACAAGCTCCAAAAGGCTTGTGTGATTCCACCCCCAAGGCACTTCCAGGGATTTCACCTCCTGCAGCTTTTCTCTTAAATCCTCTCTGCTTGCTTTTTGGAGCTTTCCTTGGATCGTCCATGTTTCTGGCTTTTCCAAACTTTTGGGGTCTCCACTGCACCTTTGGCTTCACCTTTATGTCTTCACAAATTGCCCTCTCAGGGGCACACAGCTTGGCCTCCCAGGCCCTTTGCAATAGAGGTAGAAGCCATCTTACCCTCAGAATTTGTGCATTTTCCTAGCACCTAAGATCAGCACCATGTGGATGTTGCCAAGGTTTGCTGCTAGCTAGAGCAGTACTCAGGCTTTTCTCTCTCTTGGCTGTAGGGGTCAGTTGCCTGGATCACAGGGCTCTGTTTAACTGATTGTGAGGAAAAGCTTCTCTATGTTGCCACCATTCTGGAGCCTCATGTGGCCTGTCACCATTCTGGAAACTCATGTGGTCTCTGTCGCCATTCTGGAACCTGGTGCTCTGCAGCTTTCTCCTCTGAAAAAATTCTTTTACCTTTGCAGTGAGGCTGCACAGGGTGGGGACCTGCTTCCTGGGATGCCCCCGGCCCATCTTTCTTATTTCTCTGTTTTCCCTCAGCCATCAGAATCTCCACTGTCTTTACAATCCACAGCTTTCCTGAAATATTCTTTCTGGCCAAACTCACAGTATTGCAAATTATCCCGCTGGGCTCTTTCCTCTTGATTTGCAACATAAAGCTGGCTAAAAGCCCTCTACAGTAGCCATGCCACAGACTCAACATTTGATTGCTTTTTAATTTCTTTTTCAAGATTAATCAGTCCATTGCCCTTTGTTTCAGTCTCAGGCAAAGTCTCTGGACATGAGCAAAATGTAGACAACTTTCTGCCAACCCATAACTCACATCATGGGGAGTCCAACAACCACTGCAGTCCTTCTTCCCAGCAGAAATCTCCCAGGCCTGGTCTTTACCATCAGGCTTCCTATCAGCCTTCTGGTCTCCTGAGCTGTGACCACTATCTCCTCTACAGAACTGCCTAAGCTGCTCTAGCTCTATGCATCCAGGCAACACATCCAAACCTTTCCAAACTCTGCCCACAAGCCATTTCCAAAGCCATTTCTTGAAAAACATGGTAAGGTATAGTCACAGCAAACAACCCCATTCTTCGGTACCAAATTCTGTCTTAGTTACTTTTTACTCATTGCTGAGACAAAATACCTGAAGCCCAAGTTTGGAAAGGAAAAGGTTATTTCTTACAGTTTTTGGAGGTTTCAGTCCATACTCAGTTGGCTCCAAGGCAGGTGGGCATGGCTGGGTCACAGTTCAGGGTGGCTGCAAACAGCAAGTAGGAACAGGCAAAGAGCAAGATACACTTTCTTCCTACCATTACATCATATCCTGGCTCCACTCTTATGTGGGTGTAACACTGACACCATGAATCCAAGCACTAGACAATGAACCATCACAAATGCACAATGAAAATGCATGAGGCCTGGGGGCCACAGACATAAACCATGACAGTAGCCTACTACTTCTTGTACTTAGGAGCACACTTCTGCTGATCTGTTTCTCTGTGAATAGCTTTGCTTGTTTCAACTAGAAAATTGTTGTTGTTGTTGTTGTTGTTGTTCTTCTTCTTGTTTTTTTCTTGTTTCATCTGAGATAACACATTTGCTGCCTTCTCTGGTACAGTTACTCCCTGGTGATTGTTCCTGTAAGCTTAGCGGTAACTTAAGGAACTCTTAGTTGAAATTGTATATGAAACATTTTACTTAGGAACATAAGTTTCCAAAAGAAAGAAAAGGGGAAGAGAGACTGATTGACTGAGACTGACTAGGGTTTTTGTGTATCTGAAACACACTTGTCCTTTGTGTTCTAATGTCAGACTTACCATGCTTACAATGTTACTGTTTCACATAACTGTGTTACACAAATCACTTTTAGAGATGTTAGTATAGTAAAAGTGTGACTTGAGTCTTTAGAAATAAAGCATATATGAAACCTCAAATCACATTACGGAGTGCATGCAAGACTCACCTACCCACTTCCCTGCAGTACTGCCTTGGTATTGCATGAGTTTCTGTGCTGGTGATACATTCGGCATTGAAGGAGGTGTTGAATGGCTGGCTAAAGAAGAGATCAATGGGTTAAAACCACAGAATGACCCAGTGACTTAGCAAGTACCCGTTTACTTAAAGAGCAGTGTACAATAGAAACTGTCCTCTGTTACTTGTTTGCTGTATTAGACGATAATCTTTTTGTGGTTAAAAGTCTGCATTACAGCTGGGAGTATGAAACACATCTATAATCCAAGCACTGGGGGAGACTGGTTACACAGAGTTTGAGGCCAACCTGGACTACATACATAGCAAGACTTTGTCTCAACATTCCCCAAACCACAACCACCCCCCAAAAACACTGTTTTTTAAAGTCTCTCACAAAATTAGGCACTGATGTCTCAACTGAGGTGTGGTTTCCTCTTCCTAGATACTGTTTCTTCATTGTTGAAGTAGGGTTTCATGTTTTCCCCTAATTGTCTTACTACCTTGGATATGAAAATTCTGCTTGAGTTTTATAAGTTGGTAGTAATTCTTCAATTCTCTGAAGTAATGGTGATTTGACTGGGAATCAAGAGAACTCTGTAGCATTTTTTATTTACTCAGGCATTCTCCATAGTATGTGTGTGACTGTCATTACAAGGATGATGTTAATAACATTAAAACTGTAGAAGATAAAAGGAACTGAGAATATGTGTTATACTTTTGAAAATGCTCAGAGACTGTTCCATTAACTTGTTGGATGTGTAACAGTGCTTCTTTAATTTGAATGTCTTCTTTTTCACAGGCCTGAGTTGCTGGAGGAAGCCCAGAGGCAAGGCTTACCATTTTCACAGTGGGACGGGCCAACCGTGGTTGAATGGCTGGAGGTACATCCCTTTACTACAGAGACCTATGCTACATGACACAAGCTTGTCGTGCATCTCCTGTCTCTACCTGATGTTCTGGTCTTTTCATTCTTCTTTCTAGCTCTGGGTTGGGATGCCTGCTTGCTATGTGGCTGCCTGCAGAGCAAATGTGAAAAGTGGGGCCATCATGTCAGCTCTGTCAGACAGACAGATCCAGCAAGAGATTGGCATCAGCCACCCTCTGCACAGACTGAAGCTGCGGCTGGCCATCCAGGAAACCCTGTGGCTCACCAGCCCTTCGGCTCCACCCACATTGAAAAAGGTATGTTCACAGAGGCTCTGTGTGCCCTCTGTGGAGGAGGAAGGCAGAGCCCACAAAAGCAGTAGCCTGCTAATGTTTCCGTGCTGCTTCCTAATCATACAGGGTGGTTTCAACTTAAAATTTCAGGAAAGCATAGTACAACCCCTAACTTGGAGGGGTTGAGTGATCCAAAGAAAATGTGTGAACTGCTTGTGTAAAAGTGTGGTTAAAGCCAGGCGTGGTGGCACATGCCTGTAGTTCCAGCACTCAGAAGGCTGAGGTGGGAGGATCACTGTGAGTTCTAGGCCAGTGGGTTACAGTGTGAGCAGCTTGAACTGAGTAATGAGATCCCGTTTCAGAAAAGACCAAAAAATAAATAATTAAATAAATGAATAAAACTTGGTTAGAAAGGCCTTCTTTAAGAAAGAAGGCTTTTTGAAAGGTAGAAAATTGATTGTCACAAATGTACGTATGAATTTATCAAAACTGAGTAAGTGTAAGGACCTCTTGAGGAAGGAAAAGTTAACATTTTAAGTAGCATTTCATCCTTGAACTTTGATTTCTATTTCATAGTTCAAACAATAATTAGTACTTGTACGGTATATAAAGGTACTTGCTAAGCAAATTATATGCGGAAAATATTGTTTTTCTTCAAGTATACAGGTAGCAAAATATACAGATAAGCCCAGGAATGTATAAACCCTTGCATACAATCCCCGGGCATAAATAAGCTCCTGGCTACGGCCCCTTGGCTATAAACTAGGTTGGGCTGCCCTTACTTTGTTGTGTGTGGCTTCTTTCCTTCAGTCTTGTGCGTGTGAGTGCATCTGCATCACTGCACATATAGGCGGGACTTACAGAGTAACTGTAATTTGTGGCAGTCCAGAGGTGCCACTGACATACAGTTGACATGCTAACAAGGGGTGGTCACCTCCCAGAAATCCACTGGTTCCTGGACAGTTCTAAGCTTCTCTTCTTTGTGGATGTCTTTTTTTCCCTACAAGAACTAAAGGAGGAAAAATGCTGAGTTTCCTAGATGCACTGTGGTTGTGTGTCACGGCACCAGCAGGTGCTCTGGGTCTTGGGAGCTGCATGTGTCTGTCCAACCATGCCTGTGCTCACAAAGATGCTGTCCACTTGGGGAGTAGTGAAGAGCCCTCAAAGAGCTTCCTGGTGACTCTTCTGATGAAACATTGGTGGTTATTAGAAGGGAAGAGCAGGCCAGCTCTTAAGTTGCAAAGTTCAGGGTTTTTTTCATTTAGATGTTCAACAAACTCTTATTGCTGTGTAGACATCCTTCTGAGCAGCAGAGCAAGGTCTGCCTACAGTAACTTTATACACAAAAAAGTGTGAAGATTTTGTTGTTAGAGAATTATGAAAATGAACAATAAGCCTTTTTTTTTTTTAACGTATGGCCAAAGAACACTTTCCCTTGGTGGAATGTTTTGTAACCAGTATCAGTCTGTTCTGCAGCTATTTCCACATTAATGTGGGCTTTGTAGAAATGAAGATGCTGCATGGCTTTTTCAAAGCTTTTAAGAACCCTCTTTCAAAAGGGAGCTTCTGTGATTCAGTTGAACTATTGGCAAGGACTAGACCTCACATCAGAAAGACTCTCCATATCACCAGTTACAAACACAGAAATTGCTGTTCTTGGGGAGCTTACAGTGGGCTAGCAGAGTGGCCATCAGTCTCAGGTTTGACTCAGATGGTGACAAGTGCTTTGTTTTTGGTGTTTGCATTGTTTGGCTCTCCTGTGCTCACTATCTTGTGCCCTGGCCTCCTGGGCTTCCTCTGGCTTTGGATCATCTGCTGAAAGCAGCCACAGGAAGCCAAGGCCAGAGCATCCTGTTGTTAGCCTGTGTTGGGGTGAGACTGCTTTCTGTGTGTTTTGTTTTATTCTTTTGTTTTGCTGTACTGAGGCTTAAACCTAGTGCTTTGGGAGAGCCAGGCAAAAACCCTATCATGAGCTATACCTCCAACATGGTGAGACTATTGAAAATACTGTCTATTGAATCATCAGTTACTGGGGAAAGTAACTTTTCAGAAATATAAAGTATGTTCTCATCCATACTTTTAAGCATGTGATCTGGAAATTGTGTGCTGTTCTCCTTATATTCCGACCACACTGTTATTGTTTAAAAGAGGATGAGCCTGTGTTAATGATCTCTGGCTTTCTCTGTGGGTGCCTGAAATGAAAATGTGCAAAGAGTGACCTTTGCCTCGTGGCTCCTTACTGTGCCTGTGGCTCATATGTGCGTCCTTCTCCTTTCTGTCACGCTTCCCTTGCCCTGGATGTGGCTGGTGCACTGGGGTCACCTTAGACCACAGGAAATGTCTGGTTAACACATGAAGAGATGGAAACACTCGCAGCCACATCTCAGATGGTCAGTCAGCCCTGCAGCTCATGTTCCAAAGTGGGTTTCCTACTCCAGACCAAAGGGCCCTTTGTCTTTTGTTGAAAACAAAAGTTAATTTGCATTTGTTTCAAATATAATGTGTTCTTTTTAGGTTATTAGCTCATAGCGTATAGTCGTATTTGCATTTTTTAGATTTTTACAAGAATTTAGTTTATAGATTTGCCCCATTTAGAGAAGATGTAATTTGCTTCTCCTTTTGGAGAGACCTCCATTGAGCACTGCGTTGTGGTTGTCTAACGCCAACAGTCTACTGTATGAGGTTAGTTGGCATGGAAAAAGTCTGCTCCTTGCATGGAAAATTGAAATTCTTGGATTTTCATGAGTTTTTGCATGAGGCATTGATATTTTGAATGTTTTTCACTCAGTCAAGGTGCATGTTCCCTGCAGAATTAATTTGCTTACACTACTAAAGTTCACTAATACTAATAGTTATGTTCTTTTACATTCCTAACAACCTAACATCAGGAAGATGAGGAGGGAAGCTGGATAAGGTTGGAGTCTTTCTATAATATTTCTTCACTCTGTAGCAACAAAAAGCAATTGAGGATGTAAACTTGTGTGACCTGCTTTAGTAGGTGTTTTTCACACCTTAATTTATTCATAGTATCATTAATGACTTGAAGAATGTAATCAAATAAATCACAGGATTAAAGATTACATCTCATGGATAATTTTGAACATTTCCCATATGGGATCATGGAAATTACTTTGAATGAAGGTTGTTTTATTTATGAATAGAATCTTTTATACAAAGTCCCCTGGTTTAGGCAACTCCTGAGTTTATGTACATGTAGTTCGTTGCTGGGTTAGTTTTGTTCTAAAATGTACTGCTGAAAAAAATCATGAAATACACTTCTAAACCTGAAAGTTGGCACGGGGCCTTTCCCTCTATGTCTTTATATTGTTATTTGACTAAGTACTGCCCTACTGTGTTGAGTTAAAGATCTTAGTAATGGAGTTCTCAGAAATTAAGGCTTATCACTTCACAGAGATTGAATTTCAGCTGCCTAACTCTTCACTACACAGAAAGCTCTGCCCCATGTTTTACAGTGTCTGAGTCAGATGACTTGGTTAAATTCCCAGCATCCCTCTGCCCTCTTGGGTCTTTGGTGGGCACAGTGCAGTACCAGGGGACTTGTAGTTCTTCAGCTTTTCCCAGGGGCACGGTATTCGGGGGCTCAGAAGAGTTAGCATATGTCTGAAAGCAAGTATAAATGAGTTAAGATTAGAATTTGCTGATTCCAAGATGATGCTTGAAACAGTTGCTTCTGTTTGCATTTCTAAAGGTTATTCAGTTATAGCACTTGGTTGTTTGTTTTGTTTGTTCATTTGAAAAAAAGAGAGGTGGAACTTGGTGACACATATGGGTCATCCCAGGACTTGGGAGGTTGATCAAGCATGTTTGTTGCAAATTTGAGACCAGCATAGGCTACATAGTGAGTTCAAGGTCAGCCTAAACTACATAGTAAAATCCTGTCTCAAAATTACAAAAAGTTTAGAAACAAAAACTAAGAAGAAAGAGAATAGCTACTAACTGGGTTTCCCTCCCTGGGTTTAGATACTCCCTGCCTCTAGAATCACTTAAATTCACCTAGTTAGAGGTCTCTCTACAGGACCAACAATGACCATCAGTGAATTAAGCAGTGCATTTCATAATTACGTAAGTTTCAATATATTCCAAAAGACAAAGTAGAATATGGTCACCACTTCAATATGAAATAGCATCAGAGACATAAAGTGTAGTTGAATAAGCTTAACATTTGCTTTTTGCAGTGACCATATAAAAGGGGCCCATGCAGAAGATTCCAGATTTACCCCACATGCAATGTTCTGCAGAAGCTTGGTGCACTTTGCCACCATCCTTTCCCAGACAGAGCTGCTAGGACAGAGCTATGCTAGCACAAAGCATTGTGCTTTGCCCGTGCTGGCACTGGGTGGCCTCACTCCTGACTGAGCTTTGGAAGGAACACTCAAGTGTGGTCAGAACTGTTCGCATATCAGATGTAAGATATGACTGGCTGTGTAAGAAGGCTGTGCCAGCTGCCAGGAGCCATTAATGAGCAGGACAGCTGCAGTCCCACTCTCATGGAGCTCGCATTTTACTGACCTTGAGACTGAGCGTGACTTGTCCATGCTTGGAGCATGAGGTCCCTTTGCACACTTCTTCAGAAGGCTGTGGTGGCAGCCAGGGAGAGGAGGAGGCTCTCCCTCAAACTGAGTCTGAGCTGTCAGAATCTGCATTATCAGCAACTGCAAAAGTAGTAAATAGAGATATGGAGGGTTTGCTTCCGCACAGCTTTTTATTTGGAAGATTTCTTCTACTCATTAGAAGAGAGCATAGTCAGCAGGCCAGAAAACATCAAATATTCAGGCTGTGAATCCCAGGCCCATGAAAGTATGACTCAAAGGACTGCATCATGGTAACATTGTTAGGTATCTTAATGGTTACCATAGTGGTATATTTGTCACTCATCATTTAAAGAAAGTTATGAAATCTTTTCTGTTAGAATTGGAACATTCCTCTTAGCTGAGCCATCCCTTGTATCTTGACTGGAACAAATAAAATACTAGAGTGGAATCCATTGTTCTAAACCAAACATGGAGGCCATGCATGGTGGTTTATGACTGTAATCCCATAACTCAGGAGGCTGAGGCTGGAAGATATCAACTTAGAGACCAGCCTGGGCCTAGTGAGACCCTGTTGTAAGGGGTTGGGGATGTAGCTCAGGTTAGAGTGCTTGCCTAGCAGGTATGAAACCCTGAGTTCAAGCCAGGAGAGGATGGATAGGAATGGATAGTTTTTATTTTAAAGGATTCCTCAATGTACCTTAGGATTCCTGTGAATGTAATTTAATCTTCCTTAGCTGGAGAGCATAACGAACCATTCTCTGTGAAGTGGTTGTATATCATGTCTATTTTTCATTGTACAGACCTTGGACATATTCTGTTGAATTGGTTGCTAAGGATTTTATGCAGTTTAGTGCCATTATATAAGATACTTCTAAAATCTCAATTTCCAGTTCATTTTGTATATTTAGAAATGTTAATTTTTGTGTATTCATTGTATATTCAGCAGCTTTGCTAAATTCATGTATAAATCCTAATAGCTATTTCATAGACTTTTTCAACAATGATAATCGTGTCATTTACTAATAAAGAGAGGTTTATGTCTTTCTCAACTCATGCCATTTTTATGTTTTTCCTGCCATTACAGTGGCCAGGTCTCCAGCACAGCCAAACATAAACGGTGACAGTGGACACCCCTTGTGCTTCTTTCCGTTCAGGGAGACATTTGGTCCCTCATTGTGAGGTTTTTAGCTGCAGGCTTTTGGTAGATGACCCTTAATAGATTGAGGCGGTGGGTCTTTCGTCCTAGAATGCTGAGTTTCATAACTGAATGATGGATCTTGTGCCACATAAGGTATTATGAGACATGGCTTTCTTTGCTGATCTCGTAATTGGGCAAATTTCATTGATTTTTTTTTTCCTCCTCAGTTGGTGAACCAACCTATTCCTGAGTCAGTAAACCTACTTACCATGATTCCTTATTTTTGGTGTAGTGCAGACTAGTCCCAAACTCGAAATACTTTTGTCTCAGCCTCCTGAGTGCTGGGTTTACAGGCATGCACCACCATACCACACCACAAAAAAGTACGTCCTGAAGCCAGATGTGATGATGCACCCCTGTAGTTGCCAAAACTCAAGAGACTGAGCCCAGAAGTTGGCTGTTATAATGTCCTATGACAATTGGGCATTAAACTAAGATGGACATCATACTAAGAGTGGCATCAATATCTCTTTGCATAGGGAGTGCTTGTGCATAGCCACTGCACTCAATCCTGGTAATATAATGGGAATCTCTGTCTTTAAAGGTTGTGGGGAGGGGCTGGGGATTTAGCTCAGTGGTGCAGCACCTGCCTTGCAAGCATGAGGTCCTGAGTTCAATTCCCAGTACCCCCCCCCACCCAAAAAAAAGAAAGGAAAAAGTGTAAGTTATATCTGGGTCAGATTGATTGACAGTATTGTTTTTGTCCGTAGCCTTCCTGATTGTTTTCCTTTTCTTAGTCCTTTTTGGTTTTTTGATTGGCACATTGAACCAGTTGTTAAGAGAGGAGTGTTGAAGTCTTCTAAATTTAATTGTATTTTTCTGTTTTTGTTCTTAGTCTCATTAGTTGTTCGTTTATCATTTTAAATTTACTTTTCCTGATTTTCAAATACACTTGTCATTTAGGAAGACAAAGTATTAAAAATAAAATCAAAACCAGCTAGAGCTCATTTGAATGATTTGAATTGATTCTTCAAACTTGTTCATGAGTCATGATCATTCTTTATTCCTATATTATTATATTGAAAACTAATTCAGAAAAGGAATTTATAGACAGGTATGATTTTTCTATAGCTTGGTAAATTGTCCTAAATGAGTCATAAAATTTTGCCAATATGATTTCTGTTGGATAAAACTTTAGGAATTTGAAAAGGTAGGAATGGGAGACCAAATATTTAGAAATTATGAAAAGCAATGTTGTCATTCATTTAGCCTTTAAGAATGTTGTCTAGATTAAAAATCTGAACTGATGTCACTCATTTGTTGAAATCAGACACTTGCATATGGGGACATGGACCACGAGTGGATTGGCAATGAGTGGCTGCCCAGCCTGGGCCTACCTCAGTACCGAAGCTATTTCATGGAGTGCCTTGTGGATGCTCGGATGCTGGACCACCTGACCAAGAAAGACCTGCGGGGGCGGCTGAAAATGGTTGACAGTTTTCACAGGTGAGGCAGTGCAAGTGGTTCTTCCTAACGGATCAAGAGACTTCACATAGGGGCTGGGGATTTAGCTCAGTGGCATAAGCACCTGCCTTGCAAGCAGGCAGTTGTGAGTTCAATCCCCAGTACCGATAAAAAGAAAAAAGACAAAAAAAAAAAAAAAAAAAAAAAAAAAAAAAAAAAAGAGACTTCACATTGCCACCGTTAAATAACCCCTTATTTTGTAAATAGGAACAGCTTCCAGTGTGGACTTATGTGCCTAAAAAGGTTAAATTATGATCGGAAAGAACTGGAAAGAAGAAGAGAAGAAAGTCAGGATGTAGTTAAAGGCAAGTACATTATGCAGGATGGATGCAGCACATGCCTGCTGCCTCCCAGGCAGCCTGGGTGATTGCCTGTTTGAAAAAGTATAGCAGCCAGCTGAGCTGGCACATACCTGCAATCCTAGCACTCTGGGAGGATATAGCAGCAGAGTCACAAGCCTAGCCCAGGCAGCTTGGACTCCGTGAAACCTTCTCTCAAAATGAAAAGTATAACAGGGCTAGAGATGCAGCTCAGTGCAAATCCCTGTGTTTATTCCTGAGTACCTCAAAAAGAAATCAAGGGCTTAGTGATAAGGCACTTGCTTACCACTTGCATTGCCCTGGGTTTGATCCCTAGGACTGAAAAAAAAAAAAAGCACAAAATAATCATACATTTATCTGGGAATTACACAAATTACAGTTCCAGCTACTAAGAATACTAAGGCAGGAAGATCACAAATTCAGGGCCGACCTGGCAATTTAGTGAGACCCTGTCTCAGAACACTAAAGCTAGATTTGAAAATTAGGGGTGCTAAGAATGTAGTTCAGTGAAAAAAGACTTGCCTAGCATGCTCAGGGCTCTGGCTTCTGTCTCTAGTACCACAAAAAAATAAATCAGGGAAGACTTTTAAGTGGAAACAACTGGCTTGGCATGATAACAAGAGGAGGGATGAAAAGGGGTGCCCTGAGACAGTGTGTGCTTATCTCAGTCTGTAGGCTACCCTCTTGGTGCTGGCATTCTTTCATGTAGTTTTCCTTTTGTTGTTGTACACTGTATACGCTCTCTCAGAGATGCTGCCTTATGCTATTAGATCAGAGCAAGGCAAACAAGCCACTGCCTTTTGCTTACTGGATAGAGGTTAAAACTACAGCTTTGGGAGCTTTTTCTAAGGCCTGTGGCAGCATGCAGGGCACACAGTTCTGCTCCCAGAGGGAGGGAGAGGTCAAGGCAACCAATAGCCTAGCACCCATAATTTTGTAATTTATTTATTTATTTTGAGACAGAATTTCACTAAGTACCCTGGTCTGGGATTACACCTGTGACCCTCCTGTCACAGCACCCATACTAACTGGGATTGCAGTCCTTACAGAAACCACAGAGTGTCCTGTGGGCAAAGGAAAGACATGTCAGAAACAGGCCAGGAGGTAGGAGAGGGCATGGCAGCCCCCTCAGTATGACAGGGACAGGCATTTTCTCTGAAGACAACACTGAATGTCATGCTCACGAGAGTCTCTCAGAATTCTCGGTAGTTACTAATAGCACTGCAGTGATGAGAAGAAATGAGACTTACTGAATAATGATCAAGCACTGTGTCAAGTCTTCCATAGTTGATTCATTCAGGCTGCATCGTGGTTCTGTTATTTTCATCCTCATTCTGATGTCTTTTTCTAAATAAAATAAAGGATTATCTATTGGCCAGGGATGTAGCCCTGTGGTAGGACACTTGCCTAGTCTGTGCAAGGCCTGGGTTTTAATTCTTTTAAAACAAAGAATACGTTGAGGTCTATTTAGAAAAGAAAGTCATGGCCGGGGATATAGCTCAACAACAGAGCGGCTGCCTGGCAAGTGCAAGGTCATGAGTTTGATCCCTGGTACCAAAACAAAGTTGAGAAAAAAAATCAGACATGAAATGTATTAATCCATTTAATTTGTTTTCTATATCCCCTCTCCATATTTTGTCAGTTGGCAAAAGCAGTCTTTGAAAAGATTGGTGGTCAGATATATTTTTACAGAGTGGCAATTTTTTGGTCTGTAATAGAATACATTTAATAATTATCTTTGTATGATATACGATTGCCAAAATCTAGTATGCTGGAATGTCTTTAAAATTCTTTCTTTGTAATATATTAAGATGTTGATATGACCAAAGCTTCAGAAGCACAGGGGCTGGGGTATGGCTCAGTGGCTTAGCACCTACCTGGTAAGCACAAGGCTCTGAGTTTGATTCCCAGTACAACAACAAGAAAAAGTAAAAGAAAACGAAGGTCAGAAGGTCAGAAGCAAAGAGTTTGTGTTGAACTCAGCAAGGTATCTGAACTGTCATGGTATCTGCCCCTTTCATGATGGAGAAGCATTTCAGGAGACTCTGGGGTCTGTGTAGGAAACATGCTTATACGTGCTAGGTCTGACTCTGACCCTCAGCCTGATGTTTTTGCAGTCTTAGGATTGAACCCCAGGCCTTGTACATACTAGGCAAGTGATCTGCCACCAAGCTACATCCTCAGCCAATCATGTTGTATTGTTCCCTGAATATATCCTATCCACAATCTTACTGTGACACCTGAGTGCACTAGGGGAGGCTTCTAAAGGGAAAGTTTTTATTAGAATGAGGCAGAACCAAAACAGCTGTGTCTAGGTGTGTGTCTGTCAGTATTTGTGAGTGTGGAGTCCATTTTCAGGAGCTGAGGGATCAAGATCCATGCTAGGAATCTTTCCCCTGCATTGCAGGACATGTATGATGAAGAGGTTTTCTAAAGCCACATTTACAGTTGTTTTGTTCTTTCACAGATGTGCTTGTTTGGAGCAATGATCGAGTGATTCGCTGGGTCATATCCATTGGCCTTAAAGAATATGCAAACAACCTCATAGAGAGTGGGGTTCATGGCGCACAGCTGGCCTTAGATGAAGCCTTCGATTACAACACATTGGCCCTGTTGTTACAGATCCCAACAGAGAACAGAAAGGTGACAACGGAGTCTGTGCCTCTGTCTGCTTAGCCACAGTGTTCGGTTTTTCTGTGGTTCTAGAATACTTATTTTTCATTTGAATGGAGAGAAAATTTAACTCTAGACAACTAGTAATCACTTTCCATAACTAATCTATAATATGGTAGTTCAAAATAAGCAAATGCTTGATTTTTCACTATCTTTTCTTTCCAGCTTGTGTTGCAAGCATGTGAGTCTTTGAAGTCTTTGTTTTAAAAAATTGTAATGTGTAACATCCTTCAGATATATTTAGTTGTTGTTTTGTTACTTCAGGCTCGAAATGTCTTGGACAAAGAATTTGCCGACCTTTTGGTCCTTGGGACTGTCAGACGTTTTGATGTCGTAAGTTTTCAGCTTTTTTCTCCTCTCACTGCTAGGAATCAACCTCAGGGCTTCACATATGCCAGTTGAGTGCTCTACTACTGATCCTTGCTCTTGGTCCACTACTTAATTTTTGGCAACCTTCAAAAATTATTTCTATATTGTCAAACAGATTGCAGCCTGCGATCAAAGTCTTAAGTTGTGTTTTGGTGACAGCTGACTGTCCTGCCCCAGTTCTTCTGTTTGGAAGGTTTCTTTCAAAAGTATATTAAATTTCCCCTCATGCTAAATCATAACTAACCTGTTGCCATACATTATGATTGTCTTCAGTGAGCTCCAAGAGTACTTGATTTTCACAAAGAAGATGGAAGCTGAATCTGGAAGCAAAGCATTTGTTGGATTATTTGTAGCCAGAATATTTTGAAAATAAATAAAAGTACATTATATAGCAGGCAAGAGCTTGTCCACAGTAAGAAATAAAATATTCTGATGGGTGAGAAAATCACATCCCTGGTGCCCAGGACTGCCCTCGTTTCTCCAGTTGGGGTCCAGCAGGAATGTAATCATGTTTCCTCTCACACTGAAGTTCCAGTGTGTGCAGCACTGTTGGGAGCCGCGGCCGACACCGGTCGCCTTACTTGGCGGACATAGGGCCTGTGGGTGGGAGCGGAGCCTGAGCTAGATTGCCCCTCCCATCGAGTGAGCCAAGTTGGCGCCTGCTTCCTGCCCCCTGATTGCGCTGGCGACTTAAACAACCCGCTCTGTAAGATAGTCTGCCTAGCAACAACTGATGTTAGCCAATCAGCCCGCATCGCGCGCTTTGAACTGATTGGCCACTGTTACCCTATAAAAGTAAATGCCTCTCCCGCCACAAGAGAGAAGCACAGAGGAAGCACAGAGAGAGATAGAGAAAGTCCACCGGCGAGAAAGGGCTGGTGACAGAGCGGAGGCCTCGCGGGGCCCACGCGGAGACAAATAAAGGCAAGGTTGCACACCGCCAGACTTTGTCGTGTGTCTTTCCTGCCGTCCGGGAGCGACCCCGACATTTGGTGGCCCGTACGGGGACTGATCAACCCCGAGACACGGTGGTGGTGTGCAACGCTCCAGCGTGGTGCTGCCGGACAGGTGAGTTGGGGATAAGCCTGGGCTCTGGGTGGCGCGCACCTACAGGGCTTTTAGACTCCCCTCAGGCTCACGCGTAGGTGACGGGTTCTTTAAGTCACACGCGGTGAGTTACAGCCTTTAGAGGTTAAAGATGGGTAATTTACCGAGCGCGGAGGCGCGGCCCTTGGTAAAGGCCCTTAGAAAGCTTTTAAAAGCTAGAGACCTCAGGGTAGGTCAAAAAACACTAGAACTATTCATAGCAGAGGTAGATAGGGTGGCTCCCTGGTTTTTACCCACAGGGCATTCAAACCTGCCGTCATGGGAGAAGTTAGGCGGGGACCTCGCCTCGGCGGAATTGGGAGGCGATATTTCGCCGGCTATTCGCCCCCTGTGGGAAATGATACATGCGTGCCTTGACTCCTATGCCGAGTTGCGCCGCGAATTGTGTGCGTGCGCCGCTCGAAAAAAGCAGAGAGAGGAAAAAGGACCCCCGAGCGCCCTCTGGCGGGGAGGAGATAGAGAGCCATCCGCTCCGCCCTGGAGCTCTTCTCCAGAAGCGGCTCCCCGCCGAGAGGCCGCTACAGGGAACCCTCCCTTCTCTCAGCCGGCACAGGAAGTGACGCCCCGTTCCACTCTGTCAGGACCGCCGTCCTATGACGTTGCGCCGCGGGGCGGACGGTATTTTCATGGGCGGCTACTCTGCCGAGCAGGCTGAGAAAAACGCCGGTCGAGGAAACGGGGGCTGGGGATTTAGCTCAGCGGCATAAGCGCCTGCCTTGTAAGCAGGCAATCGCGAGTTCGATCCCTGGTACCGATAAAAAAAAAAAAAAAAAAAAAAAAAAAACGAAAAAGACCAAAAATAAAAAAAATAAAAAATAAAAAATAAAAAACAAAAAGGGGGAGTAAGCCAAGGCCTGCCTCCAAAGGCACGGTTATCTATGGCATGACAATGGATGGGCCCGGATCCTGTGGTTAGCTGGAACCGAGGCGCGGTTTGTGTTTTTCCGCAGGAACCGGGACGAAAACCACTGTGGGTCCCAGAGAGGTTGACGCGACAAGTCCCTCGACTGAAGATCAGGCCTGTTCCACCAGAGGCCAACCGCAGACCCAACAACAAGATGAGCCCTAAAAGAACTGCAGGACAATCCCTTTTTGGGGGCCTGGAACGGCTTGCTCCCCTATGTGCTACCCTTGTTAGGCCCTCTATGCTCCTTGTTCTTGCTCCTGCTTATAGGACCATGCTTGCTCCGATGGGTTACATCATTTATTAATGGGCGCCTTGCGGCGGCCCGGCGTCAAGTACGCCTAGTTGCCCATGCGGCCCTGGCAGCAGCCCGTGATGGGCACAATGATCCCCAGGCTTACGCATGGCTCGCTCGACTGGCCTACGACCGGGTCTAGGTGTGGCAGGTCTTCCGCATTCCTTCCCTAATGACACCACACAGCAGGGTAGGTGAGTCAATGACGGGTAAGAGCGTGCCTCCCCAGCACGACTCGACCTAAGCCAGGCCCTACCCCATACTGCACGAAAGCCGCTGGATTACTAGAATCTGCCCAGATCTAGATGCCTCTCCGAGGGGATCACACGGAGGGGCATGAGTGCATGCCTATGTGCATCCAGGTTCACTCCTGGCCCTGGAAAAAGGACGAGGGTCTCAAGGCCTTGGCGGACCCGGGGACGGCCGACCAGGGTCCAAGCCAAGGGCCTACGGTGGGCCTCAACACAGGGCATAAGCCTCTGCACTCGATCCACGGCGGGCTGCGATGCATACATTCATTCAAAGTAAATAAAATAGGGGGAGATGTTGGGAGCCGCGGCCGACACCGGTCGCCTTACTTGGCGGACATAGGGCCTGTGGGTGGGAGCGGAGCCTGAGCTAGATTGCCCCTCCCATCGAGTGAGCCAAGTTGGCGCCTGCTTCCTGCCCCCTGATTGCGCTGGCGACTTAAACAACCCGCTCTGTAAGATAGTCTGCCTAGCAACAACTGATGTTAGCCAATCAGCCCGCATCGCGCGCTTTGAACTGATTGGCCACTGTTACCCTATAAAAGTAAATGCCTCTCCCGCCACAAGAGAGAAGCACAGAGGAAGCACAGAGAGAGATAGAGAAAGTCCACCGGCGAGAAAGGGCTGGTGACAGAGCGGAGGCCTCGCGGGGCCCACGCGGAGACAAATAAAGGCAAGGTTGCACACCGCCAGACTTTGTCGTGTGTCTTTCCTGCTGGCCGGGAGCGACCCCGACACAGCACATTGGAAGGTCACCAGGAAAGGCTAAGTAAAGCAAAACAGTCAGGGGCTTAGGAGTCCTTCTGAAGGACAGTTATCTTTATTAGAGTGTGCCTGTTCTGTGTTTTCATTTGCCAGGAGGATGACAAACACTTTAGGAGAGCACCTTCATGGAGAGAGAAGGTTAGAGAAAAGGCCATTCACGGCATGGCAACTGGGTCATCAGAGACACTCCCTGCAAACTTCCGAGTCTCTTCTTCCAAGTCTTTCTGCTCTATGCAGCCCAATGAGATCCAGATGGATGGTATGTGGTGGGCCATGTAATGCAACACTGGCTGGGAGCATGTGCGCGCTAATAATTACCTAGAGTGGCCATTGTATGTGTTACAAAGCATCTGAGTTTGGTTGCATGCCCAGGTGTCAATGGTTCAGGATTAGCCCTAACATTTGTTGGAAAATGGTTAACAACAATAATAGAATTTTTAAAAAATCTGTCTGGTTGAACCTTAGCATCCTTGCCCAACTAATAAAGTGGAGCACCCATCTGTGCTCTCAGGGCTGAGGCTGATGCACCTGTGGGGTGCAGTGTGTGGCAGGCAGCACTGGCTTGCCAGGAAAATTGCAGTGTGACACTTGGGACTTCTCTCCACACTAGAAGAAATGGCAGAGTAAACTTTAGCTCACAACTTCCAGGTTCTGCCAACTCTGTCTTTCCTTTTCCCTTCCCTCCAGTGTTCTCTTTCCATATACTTACCTTGTGCCACCTGAAGAGGGACAGGGAAGAAGGCAGAAGCCTTGTGGAGACCGCTAGGGCAGCCCTGCTGCCTTCTCAGTGAGAGATGGCAAGGCATTGACCTTTCCAGTGCAGTCGGGATGGCCCTTATGTAACTGCTGACTGAAGAGTGCAGTTGGCTGAGAGGAGACCTTGAGTCCCTGACAGTCCTGCCCACCTAGTAAAAGGCACTGATAGGGTCCTGAGAGAGCCCACATCCACATCCAGCTCTTGTGGTAGCAGGGACATGACCTTGAGCAAGTCATGCAGCTGTGCTGTGCCTCAGTTTCCATATCTGTAACTTGGGCATCATAGTAATGTGATTTTGATGCTTCAATGTGTCATGTGGGTGAAGCTGATGGAGTCCTGAGCCTCGTGCATTGCTGACAATCTCAGTGTTAGGTGGAGACTTCATTCCTTCTCATCCCTGATGTACATGGTTGTGCTGTATAAACTGTACCAGTGGGGTTTTTACAAGTTTCCTGTTGTTAGCCCCCTGTGTAGGTAGTTTTCCTTTTTTCTCTTTCTTGCCTGTATGAAAATCAGAGAAAAATACATTTATATAAACTTTTTAAAGCTGAACACTTTCCAGTGTGTCTTTTAACTAGTAAGTTCTTAAGAATTAACACTTTCTCCCTCAAGGTGTCTTACAAATGTTGGCAAGGCATGGAAGTGCATGCCTGTAATTCCAGTACTTGGGAGGCTCAGGCAAGAAAATCATGAATCTGAGATGTATGTGAACCATAAATCCAGGTTAAGGCTATACTGAGCTTCATAGGAAGACCTTGTATCATAAATAAAATAGATAAGTAAGTAAGCTGTGACGGGCCTTGAGCTTAATTTCCATTGGCTTACTAAATAGTCTAAATGAGTACTCTGTTGTTTTCCCTGTACCTTCAATTTCTGTTTCACTATAAGAATCACATTTTCTCTCTGAACATTGCAAGCAATATTAACATAGCTGGGTGTGGAGATCACCTGTAATCCCAGCACTGGGGAAGCTAAGGCAGGAAGGTTGCTGAGAGCTCAGTACCAGCCTCGAATTCACAGGGATTGTAGGGCCAGTGTGAACTACACAGGGAGACCTTGTTTCAACAAAACAAAACAAAAATAAAGGGTAGTATTAATGAGTTTGTTTGTTGTTGATTTGTTTTTTTGGTGGCATTTTTGTGGTTGTGGTTGTTGTTTTGGGGTTTGGGGTGGTACTGGGGAGGGAGCCTTCTACCTGTACTACACACCACCCCTTCTTTTATTATCCAGAAAGGGTCTTGTTAAATTGTCCAGGCCTGGTTTGAACTTGGAGTTTTCCTGCCTCAACCTCCCAGAGTGCTAGGATTACAGGCATGTGCAGGCAAACTGTGTAACACTAAATTTAAATGGATTGAATAGAAAAAGTTGTCAGGGTAAATTACATAGAAGATGTCTATGCCACATTGGTAAGAAGGTGGACTGTTACAAATGACTTGCGAGGTGGAGAGTATAAGATAAATTACAGCATGTCTCCTAGACTTTAGAATGAAGGTTTACAATGACTGCCCAGTCTTACCAACGCGGCCAGCTATCTGTCTTTTCTAGAGCTATGGCAAGATGTTGCTAAGAAGTATTCCTGGTATACTTGCAGGAAAACAAAACACTGTACAACTGGGAGTGTAAATATCTGCAGAAGATGTTGCAAGCTCTTTACCCAGTTTGTGACAGGGCTGTACTGCCTGTTTAGCCACCCAGTGTTTGTCAAACAAGGACCCCTGCCTCCGTGTTCTCCATCCTTTTTTGTAGAAACTGAGACAAGCTTTAGTCTTCTGAGAAGCACTGGCCATGGCCTCTGGGCTGTGCCTCTTTGCCTGCAACCCACCCTGAGAGCAGTGCCTGCAGAGCAGCTGGGGTTCCCTCCTCCCCTTCGTGCTGCTGATTCACCCCATTCATTCCTGGAGGTCTAGCTGTAGGGCACAAGGAAAAGTCCAGTTGCTATATCAAAGTGTGGCTTAAGGAGCTGCAGAGTAGCTATGTTAGGTGGTTGTCCTCTCTGTATGTGCACACTGAGGTGGTTTGCACTTCCAAGGGGCCCTATTGCTATTTTAGGTGCCAGTGTCCCCTTGGGTGGTGACAGAACCACTCTGGGCAGCCCTCTGATGCTCTTGCCTCACTCTCCCAGGCAGTCTTAGGATTCCTCAGTAGACACCATTGTAGGTGTGGAGATGTGTGTCTTACCTGTGCCCCGTGTGAAGTGTTAAAACTAACAGCACTTTGTTTTTGCACACTTCCTCTCATGGTTGTTGGAACAGGCAGTGTATCAGAAACACAGAAGTTGGATTCTGCGACAACCAGGACTTCCTCCTGTTAAGCCTCCTGTTGGTGAGTAGAGAGCAGCGTAATCCCTGGAGATCATCCCTGTACAGCAGGGTGAAGCTGTAACAGGGCTAACAGTGTGGGTTTAGACCATGCCAATTTACATGGGGAACTTCAAAATGACAGAAATAGTAGCTCTGTACCCATCAAGGCGATTTTGGTTTTTAGCTGACCATAAAGAGGGCTGTGTGTCATTTTTGTTCTGTTAACTTTTATTTTTATTAGTAAGTTAGTTGTACTTAAATTCATCATGGAGAGTTGGTACCTGTACTAGGACATCTTAAATCTTTTTACCTCCCCTCTCCTGTCTCCCTTGTGTCTCCAGTTTTAAAGAAAAACACGTTCGTTCCCATTTTTTCCTAAAAGCTAAAAATGCCTACTCACTTGAAGTGATGATCTGCTGATGCCATTGTTGGGGGGTGGGCAGGAAAGCAGCAACTGAGGAAAAAAGCACCCCAAAAGCTGACCACACCAGGAGGCCAGAGCCTGAGATTGGGAAGCATCTCTTCCACTGTGTTTATACACAGTGGTACACAGCTCCTATACTGGCTTTGTTACAAACACACATGTACGCACACATATATGGGGAATTGAACCCAGAGTGTTCCCACTGTGCTATATCCCTAGCACCCCATCCCCTTTTTAGTGGGGACAGGGTCTTCCTAGATCATCTAGTCCTTGTTCAAACTTGCAATCTTTCTGCCTCAGCCTTCTGACATACGGGATTGCAGACGTGCCACCATACATGGCAGACATTTTAAACACAAAGCTGCATTGCCATGCCTGGGCGCCAGTGAGCCACTTGTGTCCTCATGGTCTAGAGCTCTGACTGACTGATGGCAGAGGTGTCATTGACCCGTGATCAGAACCCCAGCTGGAGCTCTGCCTACTGTGCTTGTGTTCAGTGCCTCAGCTGGAATCTGGGATGGGCTCCATAGTCTTTTAACTTTAACTTTTAAAACTGTCACAAAATGTAAAACCTCTCTAGTCCATGAGCAGGGTCCTCAGTGTTCTGTCTGCTGACGCTCCAGCAGGGAGGAGGCAGGAGGCCTGGGGAAGTGGGCCCCAGCGTGTGTGTCTGAAGTCATGGTCCTTTTCCAGGTGGTTTGTGTTAAGAGAGGCTTTCTGTTTGTTTTTATCTTCCAGTTTTCCTGCACTACTTCTACAGATGATATGCAGCATTTTGAATCCAACAGAGACTACGTTTTTTAATTCAGTCGAATCGCTATCTGTTAATACTTGTTATATGGACTCCTAAGATATTTTATAACAGAGTTTTTAATTAGTGAAAAATTCATCAATAACATAGAGAAAATATTTTAGAATTTAATGTTTCTTCTATTTTTGTAAACTTAGGACTTTTCATTTATATAGTTACTTACTTTTTCATCTATGTTTAGGCTATAAATATCTCTGGAAGCAATTCATGTTCTTATATCTAATTTTAGTCTTTCAAATGGATGTACTGTAATGCTTGTATGTATAAACCCTATGAACAAATACACGGCTTTTGTAAATTGTGCACATATTGTAATTATTACTATTTAACTTTTTAATGATAAGCCATCCCTGAAAAAATTAGTTTACTACACTTTTTTTTGTCTTTTTTGTTTTTATCGGTACTAGGGATCAAACTCAGGACTGCCTGCTTGCAAGGCAGGTGCTTATGCCACTGAGCTAAATCCCCAGCCCAGTTTACTACATTTATAAAATTGTTGTGACATAAGCAATGTGCATTATCTTTCACCTTGCTCTACATCAGTCATTTTAAAATCAGGAGACTTCATTCCAAGCAGTTGTCATATTTTGAGGTTGACTGACCTTAACTGTTCTTTTTTTAGCAAGAAATCAGAGTCTAATAAAGTCGGGACTGAACCGTTGCACCAGAGCACTATAGAACTTTCTTAGCACTGGTTCCCTTTTCCCCATCCTGTCTCTGGACTTGGGGAGCTTGTTTTCAGAGACTTGACCAGAAGCCATGAGCTTGGAGCTGCTCTCAGCAGGGCTGGAGTGGCCAGGGGTGGACCCCAGCCTGGCACCTTCCCTGCCTCTTTCCTGTGAGCATGTGGAAGGTGCCTCCAGCTATTCTTAGAGGACCAATCACTGAGCACTGTGCTCACATCTCACAGACATTGGTGCATGAGCAGATGAGAGCAGGAAACCCTGAAAATAAAGTTGTACAACTCTAACTAATCAAGGCCTTATTTTTCATATGTCAGTCACCTTTTTACATTGGTTTATAAACATGTTTCAACTAGTCATACATTTTTAGATTTTGATGACATAGCCATTTTGGATTGAACAAGTAGCAAAAGCAACTTGCTTTTCACTGGCATATTAAAAAGCCAGCAAGGAAGGAGTCAGATCAGGGTGCGTGTTATTTATTGTGCAACTGATACATGGGTAGAGGCAGCATGCCTTTTTAATTTAGTTTATGCAGGGGCTGGGGATTTAGCTCAGCGGCATAAGCGCCTGCCTTGCAAGCAGGCCGTCGTGAGTTCGATCCCTGGTACCGATAAAAACGAAAAAGACAAAAAAAAAAAAAAAGAAAGAAAAAAGAAAAAAAGAAAAAAAAATAATTTGGTTTATGCATACAATTCACTTGTACAATCCATATTACTGCCCTTTTTCTATTAATTTTTGTGGAATTTTCTGAGTATGTAACAAAGTATACAGTCATATACATATATATACTTTTGAACTATTTTAATCACAGTATTATTTATTGCTTTCTTTCAATAAAGTTCTGAATCATTTTTCACTGCCAATGAAGAGTTCTTTGAATAGGCCAAGATTTTGTTAAAAGTTAAGTGCGGCTGGAGTGTGTGTGTGTGTGTGTGTGTGTGTGTGTGTTACCAGACATCGAACTCATAACCTCATGCTTGCCAGGCAGGCACTCATGACACTGAGCTAAATCCCTGTCTCAGGCACAGCTGTTTTGCTTCCTGCTCCAGGCAGGTTCTCTGAAGGTAGTGTCGCTATGGAAATCACCGGACAGAAAGCTGGATGACATAAGTGTAGCTGGGCATGAGGCAAGAGAAGATGGGGTCCTGCTGAAGATTGGGCCTGGTTAGACCAGGGCGGGGAGGTGCCCCCAGCACAGTTGGGGGTGGGACACTGACAAGCTCAGCTTTGCCTGCTGTGTCAGACCCTTTGTTCATACAGTGTTACCCTCCTGTTTTCAAGTTTCACATGGCGCATCTCAGAGTAATCATGGGTTTGAGCTCTTGGTTCTCAGCCTTTTTCCCTGCAAACTGTGTGTTTTTGAATGGGGTTTGCAGAGCAGAGAGAAGAGGCCAGACTCTCCAGCGTTCCTTGGTATGTCCCTGGGTGGTAGGTGAGTAGATGGTCCATATCCTAGTGCTATTGCTGCTGCTATTCTGGACACCCACATATCACTTAATGCATTTCAAATATCCCACATGCATTTATGTCTCATTTCCTGGCCTTAATTCCCTAGTGACAATGATTAGTCAGTGATTTTGCCTTCCAGTCATCTGTCGTATTTCATGAGGGAATTTACCCCAAGGATCCCAAGAGCCATGGCTGCTCGGGCCCTGGTAGAATATACATCATATTTGTAGAACCTGCATGTGTCCCTGCATAGATGCTTTGTGTCCTCTCTGGATAACTTACACTTAATACAGTGGCAATGCTATGGGAATAGTAGTTTGCTCTTTAGGAGATACAAGAAAAAACATCTGCATGTATTCAGTACAGATACAACGTCCCTCACCAAGGTGCTGGAGGTGGAATCCAGGGCCTTCACACTAAGCTCTGTCCCCGGCCCTTTGTATTTTGAGGCGGTCTCAGTAAGTTGCTAAATTGCTTAGGCTGGACTTAAACCTCAGCCTCACAGTGCTGGAAGTATAAGCACACATCAACAAACCAATTCAGATGCAGATTTTTAAAGAAATATTCTCAGTCTGCAGTTGGTTCACTCCTTGGATGTAGAACCCATGAGTACAAAGGACCTGTGGTGCTACTTGAGGACAGTTTTTCAGACCCGTGACACCTGACAGAGCAGGAACACACAGTGGGCGGAGGTAGCAGAAGGAAGCAAGCAGTTCCTCTGGGAAGTCCTGGAGAGTCCTCACCTCTACAGCTTGCAGGGGTGGCTCTCAGGGGTGCCTTGGGTCACCTCCACTCAGCCCCGCCTGGGCTGCTCCCAGATGGAGGGTCTGAAATCTGCTCACACTGTTTGGGGGTTTGTTCAATTGAGGCATCCTATCTTCCTCTAGGAATCCACATGTGAACTGTTCTCACGCCTCAAGGACCCCAGTGAAAACCATCCTGTGTCACATGAGAGCCTCACTCGTCTCACCTGTCCACAGTGTTTGCCGGAACTGGCTGATTAGGCTCCTCCCTGGCTGATGTTCTTGTCATACATTCCATGCACAACAGCCACAGGGATCTTGGTACAGTGCAAGCTCTATGAAGTCTCTCCTCTGCTTGACTTTCTCCAAAGAAGTTCCTATTTCTTTGACAATACACACCAAAGTCCTTGCTGTCCCGCGTCAGCTCCTTGATGACCTTGTTCCATCTCTGTCATTGACCTGGTGCATCCCTGCATCCTGGTCATGCCCAGCTTCTTTGACTTCTTCCCTGGCAAGACCTTTTGTGTCTCAGGACCTTTGGACATGCTGTTTCCTCTGCCTGGAAAACTCTTCCCTTCTCATCTTGTTCACTCCAGAACTGCAGATTTTGCCTCATATGTGAATTTCTCCGACATATCTGAATACCTGACTACCTAGATATGTTCAGGTCCTATCTGCTCACCAGTAGAACTCTTATTAATTTATAACATTCGTCTCATTTCCATATATATATATATATATATATGTGTGTACATTAATGTGTCGGACCCTCCTCCTCCTTTGGAAGGCTCCTGGGGGCCAGTCCCGCGTGGCTTGTTGATCTTACTATCCCTGGCACACATCTGCCTTCTCTGGGTAGACACAGGAATAACTGACAGATGAGTGTGTGCAGAGATGGCTAAAGAATGGAGAAATGGGTGTGGTTGGACAATGGACGAGTGAGTAAATGAGTGATGGGTGTGTGGGTGATGGCTGGAAGAATGAGTGGAGGGATGAACGAGGGCTGGAGGGTGTAGAGGCATGTTCCCTCCTGCAGAATGGTCACAGTCCCTGAGTGCGAGTCCTCAGTGCTCGAGGGATGGGGCACTACCTCCCCCTTGTGTGGCTCATTTTTCCCTTCTCGCCAGGGCGGGACTATGAGTTCAGAAACCCCAGGCTTGATTGTCTACTTTGCAGCTCTCTTAACATACCCGTTCTACGAAAGAACTTCCTCCAGCCTCCACAGGCTGGCCCGCGCCTGTGGCTTCCCAACAGCCCCAGCCCTGGTGCGGACAGGGGGCGGGGCCAGGGCGTGACCTTGCGCAGACCCGGATGCGGCCCCGCCCCTGGCGAACCGGAAGTGAGCGGGCTCTGTGAGAGCACGGGTGAGTCGGGACTGTGGCGGACCTACGGGGATCCTGTGGCATTGAGCGGGCGAGGCTCTTGTGGCTGGGACGGGCAGCCCCAGCGGGCGGTGGAAGCAGCGCCCGGAACAGGAAGGAAGCGGCCGTCTCACCGCGCTTCCGCTTGCGGTTTTGAGCTGGTCGGGGCAGAGCAGGCGAGGCTATCCTGTCATGCATCCGCGTCCGAGGCGTCCAGCGGGTAGGCGGGCTCGGGTTTCTCGGTAGGGGGCCAGGAAGTGAGGTGGTCGGGATCCCAGGCACTGGTGGAGCGGGTCTGGAATGGGCACCTGGGCGGAGGAGGAGCTCGCGGGGAGTGGGTCAGGACTCTGGGGCGGAGGGGCCTGGAGACCGAGGTGCTGGGGCCCCCGGGAACTAGGGAGGTGTAGGTCTGAGGGGGAGGGGCTCGCGGGTCAGGGGGTCCTGAACCCCGGAGAGAGACCCTGCACCAGAGGTGTTCGGGATCCCAGAGGGTGGCATAGGTGGATGGGGTCGGAGTGGAGAGGCGGAGGTCAGAAGTGCTGGGGAAGAGGTGGGAGCCTGGGAAGGGGTGAAGGTCGGAGGGCGCTGTGTGTGGAGGTCGGGCTTGCGCGGGAGTTCGGGATCGGCCATGAGCACCTGAGAGAGGTTTGTAAATGGGGTCAGTTGAAATGCTGCGGCGCAGGGGAGCTGGGAATCTTGAACAGGCCCTCCCTCCTGGGTGTGTGCCAAGGCACCAGAAAGGTGCTTGGGTGTGTTTCGCTTCTGTGTTTCCGTGGATGGGATAGGTCTGGCACCAGAGCAACCTTAGCCGCCCAGCTGGAGGGTTTGGGTGGGAGGGGCCCTGTTGGGGCCACTGGAGGCGGAATTTCTGTTTTTGGCCATGCACCTGAGGTGCCTGCAGGATATGCTCAGTTTTGACTTGGCTGGGCGTTCTGTCAGGAGTGTGACCCAGGAGACCCTAACAGCTGATGCAGATAGCAGTTCTGTCCAGCTGGCCTTGCCAGGCTAGGCTAGGCTGTGGAGAGGGAGGGCTGACTAGTCCATTTCTGAACTACAGTGAGTCACCCACTCCAGGGCCTTGAGTCAGTGCTCCTTCTCTCTCTGAGTAGGGAAAGTATGTCAGAAGAAATTGAAGAAACAAGGAAGCAGCCTTAGGTTTTAGGGACTTTGAGGTATGCAGGAGTAAAGAGCTGGGGGATACAGAGCTGTTGCTCATATCAGGTCTCCAGTAATTGTAAGTTTATCCTGTCTAATGATGACATCCTTTTTTTTTTCCTTTAGTGCTGGAGTTTTTTAACCTGGGGCCTTGAGCATGCTAGGCAAGTGCTCTACTACCTCCCCAGCCTTAAAAACATTTTTTTGAGACAGGGTCTTCTAATTTGTGCAGGCTGGCCTTGAATTTGAAATTCTGCTTCAGCCTCCCCCCTGAGTAGCAGGACTACAGGCATGTGCCACTGTGACTGTTGAAAGCTGACTTTTAATGGGACCTGTTTTTAAAGCATTTTACATTTAGAGTAAACAGACTTGGTGATTCAGACATTTGACCTACCCCATGCAGTAGGTGCTCTGGCATGTGGTTGAATGTGTGCTTCCTTACCAGTGCCTTTAGTGCCCTGAGTCGCACTGTTCCTTGACCTGGGCAACTGATAGCAGCAGACCGAATGCCCATCAGCTTGTCTTTCACTGGTGTCTGTGCCAAGCAAAGCCACTGCTCTCTGCTTAGGCATGAACCCAAAAGTATGTGCTCTGTTATAAGAGGCTTCCTCTGAGTAAGAGTGGGCCTTGTGACATCTACTGTGGCTTCAACAGATGCTTTTTTGCTCCTTTTTGGCTTTTTTCTGAGCTGTCTGCAGCGAAGTTCAGGGAAAGCCGATTCTGAATGGGTGCTTTTACCCCATGTCTTACAGCATTCTTTCCTAGCAGAGTTTTTCACCCTGTTTGTTCAAGGCAGGATTATTTTGTCTCTCCACACTCGGGGGGGGGGGGGCTTTTTTTTTTTTTTTTTTTTTTTTTGCGAGAGAAGTTTGTATTAATGGTGTTTGGTGACAGTCTTATCTTTGAGCAGTAATTTTTTGTAACAGTTTTAATGAAATATAATTTGCATGCCATACCCTCACCCATTCAGAGTGTATAAGTCAGTGGTTTTCATTCTATTCTGAGAGTTGTGTGGCCCTCATCGCTATGCACTTTGGAACTGTGTCATTAATTCAGCAATCCTAGACTGGCTGCTCCTGTTGTCCCAGCTACTCAGGAGGATGCAGGATTGCTTGAGCCCAGCAGTTGGAGGCCAACCTGTGCAACATAGCCAGAAACTCTCTTTATGTTTTTCAAAAGAAACCCTGTGCCCCAGCCATCATTTCCCAGTCTCCCCTTCCTCTAGCCTGGGGCAACCATTATTGTACTTTTTGTCTCTGCAGGTTTGCCAACTCTAGATGTTTCATATAAATGGAATCATATTACTGTATGTGGTCTTTTGTGTCTGGCTTCATTCACATTGTAGCATGTATTATAACTTCATTCCTTTTTGTGGAGGAATGCTATTCCACTTGGTAACTATATCACATTTTATACATCTGTTTGTCTGTTGATGGATTTTGGATTGTTTCCACTTCTTGGCTATTATGAATAATGATGTTGTGAATATTCATGTACAAGTCTTTATATGAACTTGTGCATTGATTTCTTTTGAGTGTATACTTAGAAGTAGAATCTCTATGTCATATGGTAGCTGTTTAACCTTTCCAAGAACTGCCTGTTTTCCATTTCCACCAGGACTGAAGAAGGGTTCTAATTCTCTTATTACTATTTTTTTTTTTTTTGGATGCAGTGTTGGGGATTAAACCCATCCCATCAGGGCCTCACATAGCTAAGCGTATTCTGTACCACTGAACTACATCCCCAACCTCCCCCTGGGGCCCTGCCCCACTTTTTTTTTTTTTTTAATAAGATAGGAATCTCTTTGTCTTGTCCAGGCCAGTATTGAACTCCAAACTCACATGAGCCTCCTGCCTGAGCATTTGGAATGCTGGACCTAGTGGGCTACTGTGCCCAGCTCCTTTATCTGTTATTAAATGGGGGTGTGTATCTTTTCTTATTATGGAATTAAAAGAATTCTTTATATATTCTAGATATATACTTTGAAAATAGATTTCTCTCAGTGAGTCAGTCATCTTTTCACTTATGTCTTAAGCAGAGTTTTAACTTTTGTCCAGTCTGTTTTGTTTTTCTTTATAATTTTGGTGTTACATCTAAGAAACTGTTGTCAAATTTATGGTCTCAAAAAATTAAACCGATTTAAGACATGCATTTATTTACTTACTTATTTATTTGTGCTGGGGATTGTACCCAGCGCTTTGCACATGCTGGGTAAAGGCTGCACCACTGAACTACATCCCCAGGCCTAAATTAACTTTTGTGCATAGTATGAGGTGGGGGTCCAGAGTCTTTCACTTTGGATTAGAAGTTCATTTTCCAGTCAGTTGTTTTTTTGAGCTTTGAAACTTAACATGCTGATAGGATAATAAATGAGTGTAGGTTTCAGCCCATCACTAGCTGCCCTTTTGTTAGTACACATTTGCATTGATGACATTCAACACAGGGACTTAGTACGCGTGCATAACATATCTTAATTCTTTTTTTAACTTGCTCTTTGGGTAGATTTTTGAAGCTGCACCGTGACTATACTTACAATGTAGTAGCCAGAGTGTACTAAGCAATCCACAGGGACTGCAGAAAGAGAAAGAGCAATAGCTGGGTCAGGACCTAGGTAGGAAAGTGAAGGCCAGTCAGGACCACACTCTCTTTCCTGGGTGGAGATCTAAGCGCTGGTTCAGGTTACTCTGCTAGGGCGTTTTGTTTTCCCCACAGTGTGTGCCATGGAGCAGTGTGGTGCCCATTGAGGCTGATGTGTGGTCTTGGGGACTAGGTTGTGTGTTGGTGGACTGGCCAGCATGTGGGCTGAAGTCCTGTTCCCTGTTCAGGAACTGCGTGGTCCCTGGGAGTGCAGTCTGCTTCCTGTGGTCTCCATCTCTGCACACGTCTCTCATGTGGCTCATGTGACAGACAGTACCTACAACACTGGCCTTTCCTCCCAGGCTCATCACGGATCCCTTCAGAGAATGTTTCCCTTAAATCACTTATAAAAACTAACAATAATAGAACTGTATTGTTCTTAGCAGCATTGTGAATTAGAATAAAGAATGGAAAGGTACCAGGATTATAGCAGACAGGAAATGCAACTAAGGCAGTCATTTCTGTTTCCATTAAGAAATGCTGTGTAGTTGTCTTTTGAAACATGTCACTTTTAATTTTTTTAAAATTTTTATTAGTATACATTTGCAATACACAGTGATGACATTCTTCATGGGCAGTTGGTGCATGTGGGTAACATCTAAATTCTTTTTATGCACCCCCCCCCAATCTTTATTAAGTTCCTGTGTTGAGCTTTTTAATTAGTAAGATGAAGATCTTCCTAAAACCTTTTTATGCTGGGGAGGAGTCCTGAGGTACTCTACAAAGCTCTGGAAAGATACATTTGCCCAGAGGGCCTGGCAGCAGATGTCTGTTTTCACCCTTAATCTTTTTATAGACAGAAGCATTCCAAATGTCTGGACACTCGGTATTGGCTTATTGTGTTTTAAGTAGAGTTTTGCAAGCAGGCATTCATCACTTGGGAAGAAAGTGTTGTGTATTGTGAACTTTTTAATGTTCTTTCCCCAGGGTCCTAAGGGTAAAACCACTTTACTGAAAAGGAGTGGGAAGTTGGAGGGAGAAGCACCAACAGTTTTCTGAAAAAATTTTCATTGTTGACAAACAAAAGTCAGGGGCTAGGAATGTAACTCAGTGGTCGAGTGTTTTCTTAGCAAGTACAAGGCCCTGGGTTTTAGGCTGAGCACTAAAAAAAGTTCAATTAAAAACTGAAGCCAAGCTGGTTGTGGTGGCACATGTCTGTAATCCCAGCATTACAGAGGCTGGGGGTCACTGTGAGTTCAAGGCCAGCCTGGACTACATAGCAAGACCCTGTCTCAAAAAAACCAACCAAACAAACAAACAAACTGAAGTCAAAGTTTTAGTGTTGCATCTGTCTTAGAAAAGGAAATTGCAGAAAGCTCGGGAACTAGGGGTAGGAGGCCTTTCTCAGGGGAGTCCTTCACCTCTTTCCCTTGTGTTCTGCATGTGGCAGGAACCACTAGGCCTGATGGTATAAAGCCAGGTGGAAGGTCTCCCCTCCTAGCTTGTGATGCTGGTCTGCAGAAAGATGATCCGATAGGCGTAACTCTTTTCCCTGATGAAACTGAAAGAGGCAGGCAGCTGACTATTGCATCTTCGACTTGGGGTGAATGGAAGTTTTGCTGGCCCCACAGCGCCTCTTGTCCTTTCCAGTGACTAAACCTGTGGTTCCTGGATTTCTGCCTCTAGGCAACTGCCCTATGGAGGACAGTGTGTTGCTCAGGGCAGGAAGCGGCCATGCACACAGTGTAACTTTTCATCTGTGAATGGATGATTGGGACCAGACTGTCTGGTCATGCCTCTCAGTGCTAAGGCTTGTTTATCTGCTCTTTAAAATCTGCCAAAGGCAAATCACAGCCGGGAAATTCTTTTTAGGGGGCTGGTGGGGCTCAATACAGTGGCTTCTGTATGTTTATTTTTATTAAGTTTATTGGTATAGTTTAGATACACATGATGATCACATTCATCATAGGGACTTTGTACCTGAACATAGCGTACCTTGATTCATTTTTTTCCATGTTCCCCTCGCTTCCCTTCAGTCCCTATACCCCTCCTTAGCTATTAGTCCTTTGATAAGAAACAATTGGCTATTTTTTTCCTCACTCTGTGAGTTGTCTCATTATTCTGTTGATCATTTCTTTTGGTGTGCAAAAGCTTTTTAGTAAGATGAGATCCCAGTTGTTGAATCTTTATAATATTTTCCATGTGATTATGTTTTTTTGATTGTTTTGTTTTATTTATTTATTTATTTATTTTCTTTGAGTTAGGGCCTTACTGTGTAGTTCACACTGGCCTTAAACATATTGTGTAGACCAGGTGGGCCCCTAACTCGTGGTGATCCTCCTTCCTCAGCCTCCCCAGTGCTAGGATTATAGGCATGTGCCTCCACGCAGAGTAATAGGTTTTGTTGATAGAGTGTTTTCCTACACTTGTGTGTTCAAGAGTTCTACCTGTTCTTTCTTCCAGCAGATTTAGTGTTTCTGTTTTAATATTGAGGTCTTTGATCCATTTTGATTTTAACATCTGGGAAGTTCTTGTCATGCTTGGGCATCTAGAGGAGGTTCAAGGTGATTCTCATTTGAGGGGCATTGTATAGGTCCTGCCCACCTGGTGGCAGATGGGTCTTCACCTAGAGGAGGAAGCAGGAGTCCCATGTAGAGCTTGAGAGCAGTGCACCATCATCCCTCTCACTGCTCTCTGGGATGTGGCCGTTAGACCTAGGAGACCTAGAATGGAAGCTTGGAAGGAGGTTCTCAGGCTGGGAAGGGCTTTTGTCCAGGAAACACAAGCTGCAAGAGCTGTTGTAGTGCTGGAGGAGGGAGGGTTGGAATTCTTAGTTCAGACTGGGGCACAGCTTTGGTTAGTCTAATTAAAAATTATTTTAATTGGTACATCTCTCAGTTACTTTGTAACCTCAGTGAAATTTTATGATTATTTTCATTCTCTCTGGAAAATGCATCCATTCTTAATAATTGTTTAAAAGCCTTTGAAGGTTTGAAGTTACAAACAGCATCTTACTGGTATCTGCAGATGTGTCATTGTTCTCTATAACAACAAACCTTACAGAACCAACTTAAAGTGCTATGGATAAAGGTGACTGTTTTCTAAGCCTCCTAACATAGGAGGAGTTGCATCTTCTATGCTGTGCATTTGCCCCAAAACATGACAAGGTAGCCCTCTACTAAATGATTTGAAACATTTATTAAATCATTAAAGTACTTGAAATCAAAGGGTGATGTTTATAAAGATTTACAACAAGCTGGGCTCTTAATTCTCAGTTGTTTTTATCCCTACAGCTGTCATTTAGGTTTAGTGATGATGGAAGGGCATTTGGTCATGTGGCTCCTGCCATGTGTTGTGCTGGCATCGTGGTAACCCAGAGCCTCATGCAATCACAGGGTTTGTTTTGGAAGTGACTGTATCTAGAGTGGGTGATGCTGGGTTTAAGGCTGTGTGATACTGGTTGGTTTGACAGCACCCTAATCCTAGCAGCCTAGAGTATAAAATGGTCAGAAAGATGCTATTAAGGCTGCTTGCTTGCTTTTGCTATCTTCTGCTGCTCTGAACTTTTGCCCCTGTGCCATGTACAACCCTGTCTCGGAACCAGCTATGGACTGAAACCTCTACAATGTGTGAGCTTTCTTCCTTTAACTTTGGGTGTCAGGTATTTTATCTCAGCAACAAGAAAAATAACTTAAGATTGGCCACGTGCTGAGCCTCACTGATGTGCTGAACACTGCCCAAGTGGCCAGACTAAGCATCTGCCAGGTAAACTGGCATAGGTGGCTAAGGTCAGGATGTGTTTTTAAAAGATTTACAACAAGCTGAGCTCTTAGTTCTCAGTTGTTTTTATCCCTACAGCTGTCATTTAGGTTTAGTGATGATGGAAGGGCGTTTGGTCATGTGGCTCCTGCCCTCCATGTGTTGCGCTGGCATCGTGGTAACCTGGGCCTGAAGGTGGCTGTGCTTACTCTGTAACCTTGGTGCTGCTCTTTCAGATGTGGAAAGCATCAACAGCCTATGCTGTGTCCATCACCCAGGACGACAGAGGAGCTGACAACTGGGGGACCGACCCTGACTTTGTGGTAGGAGTCACCAGCCTGCCTGTGATTTGCGTTTCTTTGAAAGCGATTTTCCTGTGTTTTGTTCATTTGTGTGTTTGTGTTCACAGTCGTGGGTGTGGGGTTTACTAGTTGTTTTTCTTTCCAGAATGATGTGAGCAAAAAGGAACAGAGATGGGGCTCCAAAACCCTGCAAGGGTCCAGGCACCAGGAACACATCAAGTAAGAGCCTCTGCAATGCTGTCGTGAATGGGGGCCCCTCCGCACACTCAACTAGTGGGTCTTCCGCAGGATGGGAACAGGCCCCAGCAGGGACATCTACTGCTGACAGCTGAAGGGGCCAATCAGGCGTCAGAGTTGCTTTTGCTTATGGTATTGACCTGGTGTTCATACAGCAGATGAATGAATATAAGTCGTGGCACCTAGATTTAATGCATGCTTTTATGTATATGTGCTTACACGTGTAATTGGCCACCAAGTTAAAATGTCCACAATAGACAAGTTTCCTCACTTACAGTTCTGGGACTCCTGCTTCTGCATCTGGTGATTTTCATCAGGGCCCACGGTTGCCTAAGTTCTTTCTCTAAATAGGAGGCTTCTCAACTGTGAGATGTCATTGGATACTTTAGATCTTAAACACCCTCCTTCCTTTGATTATTATTATTACTATTTTTTTCCTCCCTTTTATTATTGTCTGAAAATTATGGTGCTTTGCAGGATTTAGTCACTGGGGTGTTTGAACTGAATTCCAGGCTTTGAGAAAAGCCTAGACTAGGATACAGCGAGCTGTATCATCATTTCTGATCTGGCACTATCTGAAATGCCAGCTCTGGGCAGCTTGTTTTCTCTCAAGAAGCGATGATAAAAGGGCCTTTAAAATCATGCGCAGAGGTTGGTTTTAGGCCACACTGGTCAGGATTGGTTGTCCCTGTCCTGTATTGTAAAGGCAGCACTGCTGACCTGGTGACCTGCTTTGAAACATGGGGAAAGTTCCTGTCTTACTTGGCCACAGTATCTGGTTGAGGAGGATACAGTAAATCACCTGGAACAACAGAGTCTACATGGTGACATTTTAGAATATCACCTTTTATTTTTTGTATTTTTTTAATGAAACAAATTCTTACCATGTTGCTTAGGCTGGACTCAAATTTAGTCTTAAGTGTTGGTCCCTCCTGGGCTTGCCCAGCCCACGTTTCCCACAGAACTGAGTTGAGAAGTCAGAAAGCTAGGAGAGGGGATGAAATGGTCCTGGTAGGAACACCTGCCCCAAGTTGGTTAGGTCATCTGGACCTCTTCTGTTCTTGGTGGCCTCAGCCTGTTGGGCAGGGAATATGGACTGTCTGGGATGGCAGCATCTGGATGAGTTAAGGTTCCATGAGGAAAATGTGGGGATGGGATCGTTTTTGGCACCCTGCGGCTCTTCCCAGAGTTCTGCAGGGGCTCTTCTTCTCTTGCTCATGGAGGGTCAGGTAGTTTCTAGGCCTGGTATGTATTTTAGCCACATTCTTGTGATGATTGTCTTTGTGTTGATGGTGTGGGCCTTGTGTCTTCTGGGCAGAAGGGCTCCATGCCCAGGTAGCTGTTGTGCTGCTCTGGGTTCTCATGGTGACAGCTCTTTCCTGGCTTGCCAGATTTTGACTAAATCTTGTGATGTGCCTCCTGCCTTTCTGTATTTAAAATAAAAAGTGGCTCTTAGGTGATAAATTCTGAATGTCTGTCTGGACAGGTATACAATGCTTGAGTACCTCAAATAAAGACAGACTGTTATAGGTATCCTTGGTGGCCTTGGAGATCTGGAGGAAGGGACCTTGACTTTATCCCCCCTTCTGCCTCCTGATGGTGTTTGTAGGACTTGTGTTCCTAACCCATTTGTCTACTGAAGTTAGCGGCCTTTCTCCAAATGAAATGGAGTTCAAGTTTTAGCTGGGTACCTTTGGGGCGGAGTTGGATGAGACCATGGTGTGCATTTGGTACAGCGTTCCTCCTTCCATCCATTTCTGCGCAAGAACCGCTGAAGTGGGTGCCCCAGCTTCAGGATAGTCAGGAACATACATAGAAGGTAGGCAGTTGATCAGCACCAAAAAAAGAAAGCTTTCAAGTTTGCAGAGGTGATGTTGCCTGTCTTTATTTATCCCATTGCAAAACAAGGATGCACATCCATTTCAGAGTTTTTTTCTTTCTGCTCTTACCTTTCTTCTCAAGCATATACAAGATAAGAGAAAACGTCTTTCAAGAACATCACACTCTCAAGGAGAAGGAACTTCAAACGGGACCAAAAGCCTCCCATGGCTATGGAGGGAAATTCTGCGTAGAACAGTACAGCATGGACAAAGTAAGTGGGCGACAGCTGTCTGTGCTGGGTCCCTGGTTGTGTGGGCTGCTTGTGGTGGGCCATGTAGTCCTTACGTTTTTCCTTAGCTTAAATGTGTCAAGTTGGTTTGTCAGGGGTGAGATCTGTTCACAGTGGGTCTCTGTCAACTGACCCCACCCACTAAACTCTCTGGCTTTTGGAAGTTCCCAGAGGTGCTGGCGAATGGTAGAGAGACCCTAAGGGGAGATTAGCTGGACTTTGTAAATGGGACAAAGTCCAGAAACAACTGAGCTGCAGATGTCCTAGTCAGCACTACCTGTGTTTCCAGCTTATGGCCCAAGTTGTACCATTCCGTAGAGTAACCATACCTGTGGGCCCCTCATCACATCATTCCTGGAAATTGTGCTAGCATGTAGCTGACGTCCCATGTGGCTTTACTGACCTCTGCATGTAGCATCAGCACCAACCAGGTGGCTTCTGTGAGCAGTCAGTGATGGGACCAGGCTGCCAACACCGAGCAGATGCTCATGGCAGCTGCTGATGAGCACAGCCACCTTTATGGCACTGCACATTGTTCCACCTAAGAGCAGGCGAGTGTTGGCTCGAGACAGCTGGCTGGTTTCTCCCTGGAGAATAAACAGTGCAGATAGCAGCACGTCTGTCGTAAAGCAGGGCAGACTTCTGCAGACACCCTTGCAGCAGTGAATTTTCAGGTCTGAGCAACTTGGTGTTGTTCAGACCGGACTGATGTGTTGCCCGCACTGTGGACAGAGGTAAAAGGATCAGCTGGCATTAGATTCTGGTGGGTAATTCCATACCTCTCCTCCTGTTGCATGAATCGAATTAAACATCTGAAGCTGGAGGCTGACTAGGTGCCATCTGCAGGAAAGAGACATGGACATTTGCTGTGTCACTTGTGCTTGTCCCACAGAGATATCCTAATGGTGAAATAGATAGTGTGTGCAAAAGAATCTCCCTGGGGCTCTGGATACGAGTCTGGTAGCCTTTCAGAGCAGCAGAGCAAAGTGGCAGACAGAACCTTCCATCAAGTAGGTGGCTAGGCTTGTGCTCAGTGGAGGTCATGGGGTGTTTGTGCAAAAAGAGGCTGACTATATCGGGCCCCAAGTTAGGGTTAAGGAAAATGATCCCGGTTTATACAGCACAAGTCTGATTTAAAATGATTTCTCTGCTGTTTCTTGGGCTGTGTCTTTTGTTGGCCTGGATCCTGCTTATCCTTGAGCCTCCAACTTGGGCTTTTTCTAGCCGAGAAACTTTCCTAAAGAGCCCATCTCTTCCTTCCGCCTAACTTTCCCACCCTGAGACCCCGCTTCTCCTTCACGCTGGCCTTGGCTTCCCCTTCAGTTGTTGCTGCCACGTTGTGCTGTGGTTTGCAGTGAGACTCTTCTCTGGCCTGGCTTTTCAGGGCCAACACTCATCATTCTCATCTGTGGGTGGCTTGGTGTTGTGCAGGGTGCTCAGGGACATGTGGTGAGTGTGCAGAATCATGCTTTGTGGCTGACACACATACATGCAGGTCCTTACTGGCTCAAAGAATCACTCACTTCTCAGAGGGGCTGATAATAATCCCGCAACGGTGGACCTGGAGATGGTTGTTGCCTCTGCTGCTTCTTAGTGCTACTGTTCTCTGGGCCTACATGTCTAAGAATATTCAGCTTTCATCTCATGTGAGCACCATGAGACCAGCCTATTTTCAGAAAGAACTGACAGTTAACCTGGGAATAAGTGCTTAAACTCTTTGTAACTTGCCCTGTCTAGAACCTGCATAAATAGTAGTGAGGTCCTTCCTTGTGCAAAGAATTGAGGAACTAGTGACAGGCACTGCCAGAATCATATTTTGAGGAAGCACAGGAGCTGTCGGGGCTCTAGTTGTGCCATTGTCTGAGCACATGGCCAACTTCTTCTGGCTTCCTGTTTCTGTGGTCTCTGCTGCTTCTTATACCTCAGCCTTCAGGGTGGAGCTCCACTTGCACAACTGTGTAATAGCAAGTGTGATTGTGCCAGTAGAAGATTAAAGATGCTTTAGGAGCATGTCTGTTTCAGTCAGAAAGCTGTAGCTGTTGCCAAACATGGTGATCATGACTGTCTTTTTAGAGTCATTTTCATGTAACTTTCTGAGTTACATGAAGTTATGCTGAAGAATCCCTTTGTCACAGTGGCCTCTCGCCACTCCCTCACTGACATTTTCTGGTTGAGATCCTAGAGGTCATGCATGGGGTATGTTACGGTTTATGTCGAGATGTCCCCCCAGAGCCTCATGCAATCACAGGGTTTGTTTTGGAAGTGACTGTATCTAGAGTGGGTGATGCTGGGTTTAAGGCTGTGTGATACTGGTTGGTTTGACAGCACCCTAATCCTAGCAGCCTAGAGTATAAAATGGTCAGAAAGATGCTATTAAGGCTGCTTGCTTGCTTTTACTATCTTCTGCTGCTCTGAACTTTTGCCCCTGTGCCATGTACAACCCTGTCTCGGAACCAGCTATGGACTGAAACCTCTACAATGTGTGAGCTTTCTTCCTTTAACTTTGGGTGTCAGGTATTTTATCTCAGCAACAAGAAAAATAACAAGAATGGCCACCTGCCGAGCCTCACTGATGTGCTGAACACTGCCCAAGTGGCCAGACCCAGCATCTACCAGGTAAACTGGCATAGGTGGTTAAGGTCAGGATGTGTACCAATGGGGCGTGGGCATATGTGTTTGGATGTGTGTGTGTCCTTCCCACACCTGTCACTGTGTTGCCTGTCCTTAGCACCCATGGAGCGGTCCTGGGGGACTATGTACTGTGGGATTAGCTCTGGAAGCCTGGGTCTTAACTGTGCTCAAGATCGGGAACCGTTGGGCCCAAGGCAGCATTGTGGTCACACGATCTATCAAGGTGGCTGTACTGGGTAGAAGAATCATAGACACAACCAGAGACACTGTGCTGGTGAAGAGACACAGCTGGGTTCCGAAGAATGTCATTGCTGGAGAGGGCTGCTCTTGAGGCTGGGGTTTGCAGACCTCAAGGTGAAGCATGCCAAAACCCCAGACTCTGCTTCCTTACTTTACTACCTGGTAGACATGTAACATACAGAAGATTCCTGAACCTGTGCTCCCTGTATGATGGGGGCTGACAGTGTTGGTGATTGCGACTCTGGAATGAGCCAGTTTGGGTGACAGCAGCTGGTACCCTGTCTACACTGTATGCATACATCGGTGTTGATTCTGAGTCTGTGTTATTACTAAAATAGACCTTTCTATGCTTTAGTGTATGGACAAAATAAATATTTTTTGTCCTGATTTGTAGTTCTTACAGTATGAAAAAGCCTTTTTTCAAGAGAGTAAATGTATTGCCAGCAATGTCCATGTAAATGGCTCTTAGGAATTGTGTGGTCAGCTGCCATTATCTCTTTTTTCCATGCCCTGTTGCATCCAAAGCTCCACTCTAGGTCAGGCGTTGTGGTGTGAGAGCCCTGCAGCTGCATTGGAGGAACCCTGCACCAGAGACTCAATGGCTCAGGCTGCAGTTTCTCCCGGGATTCTGGCCATGGGTGCATGGAGGAAATGCCTGCACCTGGGTTGTTAATGTTGTGCTAGGCGTGAGTCTGTGATATTTTATTTTTGGACTCTCTTCCAGTCAGCTGTTGGCCATGAATATCAGTTGAAACTTGCTAAGCACTGCTCTCAAGTCGACTCGGTCCGGGGTTTTGGAGGCAAGTTTGGTGTCCAGATGGACAGAGTTGACCAGGTGAGTGATGGGCACAAGAAGTGACCCCGAGTTCTGCTGAGCACAGTGCCTTCCACCCCAGATGGTGCTGGTGCTATGTGTGTCCTTTGGGTCACTCGTAGCAGTGTGCTGGGAGGGATGTCTAGAGAAGAGCCGAGGCCTCTTCCCCTGGGGTGCTCTGAGAGGCTGAGCCAGCTGGGTGAGAAAGGGGGGTAGTAGCATGTAAAGAAAGGCCTTTCTCACATGGGCTTAGAGATCCCTGTGTTGCTGTCTACTTACCAGATGGACTGGGGTCCTTCTTTAAGTGCCCTGGGCATAGGACACCCTTAAATTTATTGCCTAAGAATGTGCCAATGGGGACCACTCCCACCCATTTCCCTTCCTATATATCACTGTGGCAAGTGCTGCTCAGAGTTCTTCCTGTGGAGCCCTCCTTTTCAGGGCTGCAGGCTGGGTCCAGATGTTCTGGCAGGCTCAAGCTTGAGCCTGTTCTGATTCCCTTTGGATCAGGGCCATTAGCCCCTTCCTTCATTTTGTTTCATGGCAGGCAGAGGCCTGGATGTGGACAGGCCTCAGTCTGTGTTCCGACTTTTTGACATCCTAGCTGTCTTGGAATTTCTATTCCAAGTGAAATGGGAGTCATGGTAATCCCTCACTCATGGGGCTGGGTGGAAAGCAGAGCAGATAGTGTGCCCATATGCCCACCATGGTGCCTGGCTCCTGCTGCTGCTGTTGTTATTAGTATTCATTTTGTTCTTAGGATAGCTTATTTGAAGAATGCGTTCCTGTGTGGCATAGAGAATTGTTCGAGATGGGCAGTATATGGCTACAATACATTAGCTGAGCCTGATGTGCAGCAGCCTTCTGGGGAGGAAGCCACGTTGCCCTGGATGTGCTTGACTGTGGTGCCTGCCAGACTGTGAAAGTGGTTTTTTTGTTTTTTTTTTTTTTGTTTTTGTGTGTGTGTGTGTGTGTGTGTGTGTGTGTGTGTTTTAACCAGCAGTACTCCAGATTGAACCCACAGCCTTGCACACTCTAAGCAAGCACTCAACTACAGAGCTGTACTCCCTTCCCATTTATTCATGCATTCATTCATTGATTGTTTAAGAAGGCAGCATTTCATCTTCACGCTGGCAGACTGTTGGATCTTGATACCAGGGGACTGGTGCAGGATAATTCCACAAAAGCAACTCCTGAGTTTACAGAGAGCATAGTATACAATTTAAAAGTGGGCAATACAAAGCAAGTAACAAAATGTTACATACTTGGCTACATGCCCTGAGTTGTATTGTGACAGGTAGACTAGCCTGGACCAGATACAAAGGAATTGTTTATCGTAATATAGAAACACTCTGGGCACAAGAGGAGTGGTCCTTTACTGGGTGAGCATAGGTAAAGGAAGCCCTTTTTATCACATGTGGATTTCCAGATTATCAGACTGGTTTCGGAAGCAAATTTGGTGTTCAGTCCGAGCGGCAGGACTCCTCCACTGTGGGACTCCTGAATATAAGGAAAGACTGGCCATGCACGAATCCCACCAAGGCACAGTCCCCACCTCCTGCCTCTTCCCACACTCCCTTGCGGTACAGCCACTTCCAGCACAGGCTTCAGGGTTCACCTCGGTGCTCTAGCAGGCTCTCCTGCTCACCAGCTGTCAGACCATTGGGCATCCTCAACCCACTGAAACTAAGTTCCCGTTTATCCCATTCTCTTTTTTCCCCCTTTTGACCTTTCAGAGGAAAGTTGGGGTAGAAATTATAGTTCGCAGGTTTCTGGGGTGGTCTTCTAACAACCTTCTGCGTGTTTGCTTGCTTTTGACCACGACTTCTTGGGTCATCGTGCCAGGCCTTGTTGCCTCTGAGGTTAGGAAAGAGAGGTTTTAGTTCCAGCACCTCTGACCCTTCCATCAGAGGGTTCGTAGCAGTGAGGGCTGAGAAATGCGTGTTCTGTGTGATTTCTGTGTTTCATTGTAGCAGTGGTGCTTTTCAGACAGGGGTGGGTAGTTTTGTTTGTTCTGATTTTTTTGCTTGTAACACCACCCACGTGTAGGATCTTCACATGTAGCCACACAGTGTGTACACACAGCTGGAAAGTAACCTTTCTGGGGCCACACACTGGAATTCCAGATAGTTGACGCATATTCCTTAGAGCAGTCACACTTTCCATCAAAGTTCTCCAACTGAGGCCTTGGTTACTAGAACCTGGACCCATCACCGGCTGAACGATGATGTCCAGCAGTGAAGGGCAGAGTGTGGGCTTTGAGCGCAGTATTAGGACCTGCGCAGTGCTTGGGTGTAGGGTGGTGAACGCACTGGGCCTGACCCTGCAGACTGCATGGAGAGAGCCTTCGAGTCTCAGCGGCATTGAGACTGCATGACAGTGTGACTTCCATGTGGATGTGTGTTGCTGCAGCAGACATATTTGGCTGGTAGAATGTCCACATGGAGTATTTTCTTTCTTTTAAAAAGCAAGAAAACAAACTGCGACTGAGCCTGTATTTAGTGCTGGGTAGAGTGGTTGCATAGGAAACAGATGAGCGTAAGCCCTGTGGTTGGTGTGGAAAACTGTGCTAGTGAAGTGTCCCATCGCAAAGGCCTCCTGTGCCCCTTTCTTGGCTTATTTCTTGCCAGCCTGCTGCCCGTCTCCGCCCTTTCCCCAGGAGAATGCCAGAAGCATGCCCACGCCTATCCTGCTCCCTGCCTGTGCACTAGACATTGTGGTCAGACGCAACTTGCCTGTTCCGGAAAGCCTGTGTTGTGGCGGTTCTTGGTTCTTTCTGCCAGGGTGCATTTTCTTGGGCTGTTTGAGCCCTATCTGCATGCACCTGCGATCATCTCGGACCGGGCCTGTCCTCTGCCTCAGAGTAAATCTTGTATTTTGTCACCTCCAGACTATTCCAAAGGATTCAGTGTCAAGGAGAGGGTGCAGAAAGATCAGATGGATAAAGTAAGGCTGTCCAGCTCCAGATGTGGAACTTTCTGCCCGCAGGCCCAGGGATTCCTGCAGCCCCCACTCTGTGTCAGTTGCTGTTTGTAGCTACCATCAGGTAGGCACTGTGCTCGTGGTTCTGGCCATCTACCCACTCAGCTGGCATATGTCACTACGGCAGCAGTGGACTGGCTCCCAGTCGAGGTCTGAACTAGCCAGTCTTGAGTGCTTGGCCATAGCATGGCAGTGAGGGAGCTGTCACTGGATCATACTGCTGTTTGAACTTTGATTATGAATGGTAAATCAGACTGGGAATTGAGTTAATGTGAGACCACTTGTAGGGTCATCCTGCCCTTGGCTGTAGTGGTGGGTGGCATGGTGGAGCCTTAGAGCTCTGTTCCTATACAGCTTGTGGCTGACCTCACAGCCTCTCCTCGGGCACTTCCCCATGTCACCAGGGTCCATGGGAGAACCCTGGGGCACACCGCACAGGCCGAGGGGTCTGGAGAAAGGACTAGTCACAGCCCAGTTCTGAAGAGCTGGGAAGAGTTTGTTAGGAAAGTCAGGGCTAAGAGAGTGCAGAGCAGAGGGCACAGCATATATTTCGGTGTGGGGGATTGAGGGATCACTGCAGGGCTGGAGAAGGGAGCCGCACAAACCATGTGAGGTCCTCAAGTTGTTCAAGGGACTCTGGAGCCCTGGATGGGCTTAGCAGGCAGAGGACAAGAGTGGCATCTGCCCTGAGTAGCCCCTGTCTGCATCGTGGGAGATGGTCTAAGGTTGCTGTGAAGAGGTGGCCCCAGAGGCCTGAACAAGGTATTGTCTTAGGCTGGAATTGCAATGGGAGATGCATCTGATGTTATAGATGTAAAGGTGGCAAGTGGCTGGGCTGGGGTTTGTCTTCAAGGGCCCAGGAGGAGGGAGGAGCCAAGTGGCCAGTGGGGTGACTGTGGAGCTGGAGAATTTGGATGAGCATGTGTGGTAAGTGCTTGTGATGCCTGAAGTTCGTCCAGTTTAGGGCTGCGCCTGTCTGATGGAAGTGTCAGGTCAGAGGATGCTGGGCAAGGAGGCTCCTCGAGGTGGCAGCAGGGAACTCCAGGAAGTATCTGGTGGCTGGGGCCCCTGGTTTAGGAGGACGGAAGGAGCTAATGAGTGAGAGAGTCAGAAGTTGTGGCTTGGCGGTTGGGAGTTGAGGAAGTTTCTGTCTCTTGTCTGTGGTTGATGCCAGTGGTAACCAATGACTGCTGGGCTTGTAAACGCCGTGGAAGTAAGCATGCGAGGCTGGCATTGCCTCTTGTAACCCTATGCGTGAGGCATCATGATTCCCCCTTGGAACTGTTGTGCTGTCATGGAGCCTGGTGCTTTCTAAGTGAGGCCACTGGCCAGGGCCCAGGCTTTGCTATGAGGCCGTCCTAAAAATATGATGGGTCGCTGAGGACTCGAGTCTGCAGTTGTCTCTGTGGTGATGGAGATCAATGTGAGGCCAGTGACCTTCTGTTTTGGAAATGCCCAGCCTGTCCTGTCTTGGACAAGGTTGGCTGTAATAGGCATGAGGGGATCAAGGGCAAGAGTAGTTGCTCTTGTGAATCTTGGAGCCAGGCCAGACAGGACAAGGAGGATGGAGCAAGGTTTATATGGGTAGGAAGGTGGCAAGTGCGAGAGGCTGTGGTCTGTAGGCAGTCACAGGCTGGAGTGTAGCTCAGTGGGAGGATGCCTGCGTCCCACGTATAGACTGGCTTCCCTTTCCAGCATGCAGAGCAGAGGTGGGTCTTGGTGACGGAGTCACTGTGAGGAAGGCTGAGCACAGGGATGGTGTGGGAGGTGATATGGATGGGGAGTGGATGTGGACAGAGAGATGCCCCTGCCTGAGCAGCAAGCCAGAGGCCTCCACTGCAGGAACTGGGATGAGAGGACTGGAGCCACCCTCCCAAAGCAGAGGGCAGGAACCAGGGCAGTGATCTCACTGCTACCCTGAGGCTACAGGGCAGGCAGGAGTCACCTGGACAGCTGGGCAGGGATTGTTCTAGAAAAGGTGGCAGACTGTCCAAGGTCAGTAGGTTTGGGAAAAGGGAAAGGTTTAGTCAGGAAAGCTGAGCAGCCAAAGCTTAGACTCAGCAGAGATAAGTCTAGGCCAAAGGCCCTTAAGAGCTATACAGCTAGATCTGTTGGGCATGGCGGCTAGGAGGACAGGTGACTGCTCTGGCCAAGGCGGGAGTCCTTTGGGGTGGGCTTTTTGGCTCCCCTGTGAAAGGATAGGCACAGGGGAGGGTGGATGTGAGCCAGATTCCTTTCTGGTCTCCTTTGGGCAGCTGGAGCCATCTGTGCCTGTGCCGCAGGGAAGTGTGGTTTTGCTACCTCGAGGGGCTGCCTCTTTGGGCTGCACTCTAGTGTGCCATGTGGGGAAGCAGTGAGCATCCTGAGCTGGAGCACAGTGCTCCCATCAGCAGTGGTGCAGCTCTCAAAGGAACTGGGGAAGGTCATTAGTTTCTAAGAACCCCATCAGCCTGTGCTAGGTCCTGCGGTTTAGGGCCTGATGTCACAGCGGTTTCCCTGGGGTGTAGCTGAGAGCCCAGTTGAAATAAAGTGGTGGCATCCCAATTACAGAGCCACGTGGAACATCTGGCCAGGCAGGCCTGTGTGTCCTGAGGACCTGTCCCCACACAGCAGAGGTTTGTAGGCAGGGCGGGGGCAGGCTTGATCAGGCTTGAGCAGCACAGAGGTGGCTTGTCCCTGAGCAGATGGCTGTGACACTGACTAATGGTCAGCAGTGTGTGTGGCTGTACCTCCGCGAATCTGCAGAACACAGGGGCAGAACTTAGGCTGCCTGGTCTGTTGAGGGATCTGGGGAGGCTGTAGCATTTCCGCAGGTAGGGAGGGGCAGAGGAGCACACTTCTGATTTCTTTTTCCTTCTCTGCAGAGTGCGTCGACCTTTGAAGGTGTGGCACAGGTATCGTCTGCCTACTAGAAGACTGTCCCTGTTCAAGCTGGTGAGTGTCACCCACACAGCCAAAGCGCTATTTGGTCTTCTCTGGAGGAAAGTCTAGGGAAAATCCCAGGAGGAAAAGCAAGGTTGGAGAAACAGCCAGGAGCAGAGGGACATGTGTGACTGCCCCCATAACCCTGCCCCCTACATTGCAGGGACCCTGGAGACACAGTTAACCCCTCTTTGCTTCGGAAAGTAACTCTCACAACAGAGCCTACACCAGAGTCCCTGTGAATGGGGGTCCACTTAAAATTGGGAAGCAGAGGCCCACTTTTGCTCACTTCAGAGGAAATACCTGCCAGTAGGTGGCCTGTGCCCAGAACCCCAGCACTCTGAGAGCCTGAGGCAGGAGAATTGCAAGTTCAAGTGCTGTCTTGGCAACTCAGTGAGAACTGTCACAAGAAACATTACACAATGAAAGAGCCCTGGGCTCAAGTCTCAGTGGGGTGAGGGGGCGGGGAGAGGAGAAGAAGGAGGGGAGTGGAGCTCAGAGTTACTGTAGCTCCGCTGCAGGTGCCTTGGATCACTTCCCGATTCTGTGGTCCCAGACCACCTTGGCACTTTGAAAGTCATTGAGGACCACAGAGAGCCTCCATGGACCTGGATGTGTTTATTGGTATGTATTCTAAATTAAAATGGAGGAAAGTTTTCAATTCATGTAAAAATAAAACTATGGTAAGTCTGCTTATTAAGTTTGCTTTTAAAAAAACTACTGTGAGTTCCAGAATAAGAAAATTTAGGGGAATGACATCATTTTATGTTTTTCTAAATCCCATTACTAGAGGATGGTGGATTGGGGTCTCATATCTGCTCCCACATTTTGTCTGTGGCAGTGGCCAGATTGCTTCTACAGTTAAGGTAAACTGGACACAGGTGGACCAGCAGGTGGGAAGGGAGGGCCCTTGGTGACCTTGGGGTCACTATGGTGTTCTGTATTTTGCCTGGTGCGTGTGGGCCATCTTTCCTTAAAGGCTAGTTCTGCATCCTGGGAAGCTTCCCCAGAGTGACAACATCATGCTGCAGCCATTAAAAAAACAGTAGACCTACAGATTATCCTTGTTGTCCTGCGATTGATCCCTTTCATTATACTATTGAAGAAAATCACATTTGTTCTCCATCTCCTTGGTGCAGTCTTTAAGTGACAATGCTCACTCTGGCACCTACTAATTTCCTAGAACTCTTTAATTCTGCTTGAAAGCATTAATTTTCCTGTGGGTAACAAATACTGCTATAAGTTTTGACATTTGACAGAATGATTTGATTCATTTACTTTGGAGGAAGTGTCTGCCAGATCCCCAAATCTGCATAACCAGAGTTTGTCTGCCACTTGTTATCTTAGGGAAAATCATGTTCCATAAGAAAACCGTTTAGCTAGTGCAGAGAGGCTGTTCTCTGAGATGCACAGGAGTGCTTTATGACTATCCCATTTCTGCCACACGAAACACCCAAAATGCATATGTAAAGGTCAAAATCTGCTGAAAATCAGTATCTTTTTTTTAAACTTCTTTAACAACAATAGACTTGCATCTTTTCTTAAGGATGCCTGCTTCTTTGTTTTTTCAGCATGTGGTGGCAAGTAATGTGATGATGGGTTATGTAAAAGTATTCCAGCAGGGCTGTGCTGGTTCACACCAGTAGTCCTAGCTACCGGGAAGCCTGAAGCAGGAGGATCAAAAGTTTGAGGCCAGTTTAGGCTACTTAATGAGACCGTCTCAACAAAGCAAATAAAAATGACTGAGGATGTAGCTCAGAGCTCTGGAGTTCACTTCCCATCATCTCAGAAAAGAATACGTGGGAAGCTAAGGTTCAGACACAAGTGCTGCTACATACAGTGTAGAGAGCTGGCCCAGTTGGCAGGCTGAGCACAGTGGGGTGGGAGAAGTGTGAGCTCTTGGTGGGGCCAACTGTTGCTGCAGAAGGTCACCCTGCTTGGGCTTTCAGCCCAGGGAAGTGTTCCGAGGTGCTGTGAGGCAGACGCCCTCTTTCCTTCCTCTACAGCGAGCCAGCAAAGCCAGCAACATGAGGGCAAAGTTTGAAAATCTCACTAAAGAGAGAAGGCAGGAGGACAGGTGGAAGCGGAGAGAGCACAGTGGATGGCCAAGGAAAGGCAGGAGCAGGAGGAGGCTCGAAGGAAGCTGGAGGTGGAGACAGAGAAGCTGGCCCAGCGCGTGAGCATGCGTGGCCAAGGGGGTGCTCGTGCTTGCGGTGGCTGCCACTTTGCTCCGCATTCCCAGAAGTTCTCAGTAGAAAGTGTTTTCCACTCAAAGAGTCAGCCACACAGGCTGGCAGGGGTCGGCCAAACCCATCTGCCAAGGTGGCCTGCCCTGACCTCTGGGGCTGGTCTGCCACTTTTCCCTGTGGTCTGCACACTTTGACTAGAAGAAGAGGTTACAGAGGCCGTGGAGGTTGGACAGAGTGCAAGGACTCTCTTTCCAGGATTTTTTGGCGGGCTTTGGCTCTGCTCTGCCACCTGCTCATCAGGAGCCACGGCTGACAGCCTGGCTGGTTCTCTTGGGTAGTTGAGCAGTCGAGGCTGAAATAATGTACACGAAGCTGCTGGGCCAAGTGAGGTTCTGGATGTTTTCTCCTTACAGCAGTGCTTGGGTTCCAAGAATCCCCAGCGGGAGGAGGTCGGTGTGCAGAGGCAGGGGTGCTGGGAACGGAGGCATTAATGAACAAGACCCGATTTGCCTTAGTACAGGCAGGCACGTGATGGGAAGCAGAGGTTCGTGACAACACTGTTTTCCTGTTCTTAGTGACTAGAAACACCTAATGACCTCTCCTTCATAGTTTCTATAAAATAAGGTGTTTGTTTGTTGTTCTTTGTCACAGAACACCCGAATACACACAGGCACTCTTTACTTGCTGTCTCGTCTTTTTTTCACGTAATTGGGGCCTTCCTTATTTCATGACTGGATTTTAATCTCTGTCATCTGGGACACAACAGTTTGACCTGCTTGCTTGAGAGGAGAGATTCGAGTAGGGTAGTTATTGTTTAGCCCCTTTCTTTGCAGGTTGCTTGCTGAGTCCTTTTCTGTTTACAGGCCCCCCTCCTCCCCAGGAGTGTGCTGAGTCTCAGGTGGACCCCCTCCGTTACTTAGGAGCACCCCAGACAGGTTGGCACAGTGCGTCCTGGCAGGAGAAGCCTATGTGTCAATCCACACTGTCTGGTGGCTGCTGTTGAGGAGGCTTCTCACCCAGCTGGGTTTGGGAAGGGCTGGAGGTAGGCCCTTCGGCCTGCAGCTGTGTTTGTGAAGTGATCCAGTTACCCTGCAGCCAGGGGCCTGGGTGCTGAGGCTGGTGGGCCCAGTCCTGCCCTTCACGGCTGCCCGGGACTCAGGCCTTGGGTTTTGAACCTGTGTAGGATTCCAGGTGACAAATGCTTGCAGGTCAGGCTAGTCCACAGCTATGCAGAGACCTGTCGAGGACCAGGCCTGCTTTGCTTTCCAACAAAATGAGACAGTTTCGTTGTCCCATGGGGGAGGTGTGCCATGGGCACCTGGGGTTCAGATTATGCCTCTACGGTTCCCTGGCTGTGTGTCCTCCACAGTCCTCCCTGGAGCATGCAGGCCATCAGTGTGTTTCCTGTGGCTGCCATTTCAGGTCACCCTCACTGAGCTTGAAACAACACATTCTTCACTTGTGGCACTCAGGAATCCCCAGAGGTGTCAGAGGGGCTGCATTCCTTTGCAGGCTCTGTGTGTCTGTCCTTTTTCTAGCTTTTAGAGGCCCTTGCGTTTCTTGGCTCGTGTGACTCCAGACTCTGCTTCCATCCTCACATGTCTTGACTGCCTGTCACACTCCTCCTTGTCTTATGAGGACCTCGTGATGACATTGGGCCGACCATGGAATCAGAGCAGGGGGCATTATTTGTCTACTGCATTGTATCCATGACGGCCAAAGAGTCACACTTTCCTCCCACTCATAATATAGTCCCCTCACGTCATGGTCCCTGAGAACCTTAGTCCACTACAGCATCAACTCATCATCTATATCCCCTCAGTGAGTGAGGACTCCACAGCGAACTATAGGCCAGCGCCAGCACTGCAATTGTGCCTAGTGCCCAGTGAAGTGCATCTTCCAGGCGTGGCACCGCGAAGTGCTGCAGGCCGCCGAGGTCTTTCCTCTCAAGGTGGTCTGCTGACTGCATGACTTTCCTTTGCTGCAGCAGCTCCTTCTCTAGGATGTGTGACACTGTCTGCTGTTGCATCAGGCCCATTCTTCAGGCTAAGGTACCTTCCTTTTCTGAGTTGCTGGTGTCATCGAGACGGTCATGACCTTCTGGTTGCTATTTTTCTATTGCAGGAGCAAGCCAGAGCCAAAAAGGAAACACCCCCTGAGTCCCCCACTCCTCATTCAGCTGAGGAGAGGCAGCCTTCCAGCCCCATCTATGAGGTGGGTGTTTTTGTTTGGTTCGTGAAGGAGTCTTGAACCTTTTGCAGTGCCCGTGTGGATGTTTGACGTGCTGTGCTCTGTGCCCACACTGGGCTTGTGGTGTGGCAGGGTTCAGGGATGGCATCCTTGGAGTGAGGCATCCTCCCCGTTGCCCTTCTTTACCTTTCTGCACCTCCCTGCAGTCAGACTGCCAGCTGAGGAGTGGGTCACTGTCTCCCTACAGCCCTGGGTAAGTCGCTGGATGCCAAATGCTCAGTCACATTGGTTTTGTTGGTCTTCTTTCACAAGCCTGTGTGTGTTGAGCTGGCTGCACTTCTTTATGGGAACCAGCCTCCTTTGGCACTGAGGCGCCACCACCAGTGTCACTCCTGTGGCTCTGATGGTGTGTTCCCAGACACCTCCCTTCTGTGCCACATTGGTGCCTCTCACAGACCTGCGATCTTGCTTTGTCCCTCAGATGCTAACCTGCCTGACAGCTCCTGGCTCCCCCTCCACTGTGGCCCTTGTCCTGTTTCCTGTTTCCCCCATAGCCACTCTGGGCTGCACATTTACTCTTTTATCTAAATAGCACTTTGTGTCAGTGAATTGCAACTGCTGAGGACTCAAGACACAGGGAGGTTACAGACCCGTGAAAGCTATGGAGATGCACAGGGCCGGGCCTGGGTATTCCTGGTCTTACTCCCAAATCCAGAGAAAGCCAGGCCTCCCAGCAGCATCCTGCAAGTGCCATTCCTGACCACTTGCCTTGTTTTTTGTGACCCACAGAGGGCACCTGGTCAGAAACATTGGAGCCAATGTTAATGTGTGCTTCAGGATGCCTGTTAGAACTCAGAAGTCATATGGTTTTTTTTTATTTAAAAAATTTTTTAGTCACGCAGTTTTAAATTATAAGGTGTGTATTTTCTCTGAGTACCTTTGTCTTTGAACATGGTTCTTTTGGTGGTTCCCTTGCCTCACTCTGTGCAGAGGATTTGGTTAGAAGACAAGAAGCTGCTGGCTGGTGCTGATAGGCAGCACTGGACAGGACAGAAACCTGAGACCTAAAATACAAACAGGCTAATTTGAACTCAGGATGGAATGACTCGAGCCCTGGGGATGCAGTTTGGGGAGTGTATGGTTCCTGGTGAGGAGAGTGGACTTCAGTCCCTTCAGGATTTGGGAGTGTTGGGGGTAATAAGGACTGGGGCTCCCTGGATGAGAGGTCAGTCAGGACTTTGAACTGATGCCTTCCTGACTAGTGTCCTTTTCCTCAATCCCAGCCGAAGCTAGGAAATAAGTCCCCATGTGTTAGGTGGCATTGACAGTGTAGCTGTAAACTTTGTAGGTGCCAGCCAGGCCACAGGATATGTCCATTTGTTCCTTTTCAGGATGCAGCCTCCTTGAACGCAGAGGTCCTGCAAGTGAAAGTGAGCCCTAGCATGTGTACAGTGCAGAGGCCACAAACTACCTTCCCACAGGCCAGCAGTTAGCAGAGCCTGGGCTATGATCCGGAAGCCATCTAGGACACCACCAAACCCTCTGGCCACTATCAAGCAGGTACTGTGCCCACGCTCCCATGCCCTTCCTGGGAATGGGGCTCTCTGAGAGATCCCACCCAGCTTCTCTGTTCAAAAGCTGAGAAGCTGCAAGAATCCATTAACAATGACAAATGTGCTCAGAACCAACACGGGGCCTGCTTAGCTCTAGTCTCCAGAAAAGAAAATCCAAATATTTTAAAGGATAAGAAATCAGTTGAACAATTAAAACTATTGTTGATTTCAGGTTTGCACAGGAAATGCAATGATCCTGGAATACGTTTCATACTAAGAAGCTGTGATAGAGTAATGGTTTGAACCAAGAGGACAGAGGGGCTCTGCCTGGCCAGCAATGGGAGAACACAAAAGTCAAAAAAAGAATAATGAAAACAATTGATTAAAACAAATTGAAATCTAGGAGCTTACTACATACAGTGAAGGAGAGAGAGAAGAAGAGAGAGAGGAGAGAGACCCAGAATAAAAAAATATATACACGCATTTTCTGAAACTCCAGATTTCCTCTGCACAAGGCTTGCACACTGTGTATTACTTCCAGGAATGGATATGAGCTCCCATCCCTCAAGGGACTCACCAATACAGTGGCATCTAGGTATAGATTTTACTTGTGCTGGTCTTATGAGCCACACTGAGAAATTTTCTTATGCTTAGGATCTTTTCAATGAACTTCCAGGTACACCAAAAAAGTTTTTTCAAGGGTTCTTCTATTCTTTCCTGAGCTATTTGTATCCTAGAGACAGTAGCGTTTTCTGTAATAAAGCTGCAAATATATTTTTCCACCTTCTCACCTGTTTTTGTAGTCACTTATTTTGACATTCAAAGAGTTTCTTGGGGGCTGGGGGTTTAGCTCAGCGGCATAAGCACCTGCCTTGCAAGCAGGCGGTCGTGAGTTCGATCCCCGGTACCGATAAAAATGAAAAAGACAAAAAAAAAAAAAAAACAAAGAGTTTCTTGGTTTTGTTCCATTTTTCTCTAATGCAGTTAGACTTATCAGACTTTTAAAACTGCTTTTGGATTTTGTGTCATTAGATGGGCAAAATGTCCTGACTTTTTACAGCACACCTGAGAACTGTTTGTTCTCCTGCTGAGCTACACTGGACTGAGCACTATTTGTCTTCCTTTGAGAAACAGAAAAGCCGACAGGCAGAACTGGCTTGGCTCTGTCCACTGGGCCATCACGTGGACCTGAGCTGCATGCCACCCCAAGAGTTGGACCACAGTGTTTTCCCACTAGACATAAACAATTTCACAGAATGCCAACATCAGACAAGGCCACTTTGTGTCCAGACCTATCAGGACCAAAGATCACTCCATGGTCACGTCTGATCACAAACACGGCAGGAACATCAGTCAAATCTCTGTAGGGACCATGTGTCTCCCCACCTGGTGAACAAGTGGCCTCTGCTTTGTGAGCGGTGATAATTTTCCCCTCTTCAGCAATCACAGCTTCAACCCACTACAACTTTCTTATAGCATCATGTCCTTGTGATAAGAGTCATGGAGATCCCCAATTCTAGACTTGTCCCAGCTCCTGACAACATCCAATCCAGAATAAATCCCATTTCCCTAAACCCTCTTCTGAAATCATCACCTAACACAAGTTCCAAACTGCGAAGTCTTTCTCTCATTCTCTTAGTTACCTGGAGTGCGTACCGTCCCTCGCTCACTGGTAATATACCCACCTTGCTCGACTGTAGATGCCTCCCTGTCGATCATTGATCAGAGCATGTTGATGTCATTCTTTCTGCTGGTCACATAGTGGGTGGGAGTCCATAGATGGCAAGGCCAGCCCAGGAGGCTCGAGTATCAGTAGGAATCTTGCATGCATACCACTCCTCTGGGTATGGGTACCACGAGGCGTCCCTGGCTTTGGGCTCGTTTTCCTGATTCCATGTGTAGCCATGACTGTGGCAAAGAAAGCCCACCCCAAGGGGCTTCCCACACTGCCACAGTGACCTTGTTCCTCTGTCCCTCCCTAGCATCCATTTCCACTGTCATCATCAGTGTGAGGATCCCGCTGTGCTGGTTTGTTGAGCTCTGTGTTTTGGTGTATCAGGGAGGACGCTAAGGATTTGGAGCTCTCTCTCTCTCTCTCTTTCTCTCTCTCTCTCTCTCTCTCTCTCTCTCTCTCTCTCTTTCTCTCTCTCTCTCCTTAGTTCTCTGTTGTTTTTTGTTTGTTTTTGTTTTTGGCTCTCTTGTATGGGGTTATGGTCTTTTCTTTGTTTGCTTTTAGTCATTTTGTATGGGTTTTAAATTTTTATTTACTACTAATTTTGTTAGTCCTGGGGGAGGGAAATTCTGCAATGCTTCTTTTTGAGTACTAAAGCTGTCTTCTCTCTTCTCCACCTCTCTACTGGGACACTTTTTATTTATTTTTTTATGCTATCCTGCAAGTTGTTTTTCTTTCAATTTGTGCTTTTGGAAACAAAAAGTGTTTTGTGTGTGTGTGTGTGTGTGTGTGTGTGTGTGTTACAACATACCTTTTCTGAGTATCAAAACAGATTCTTGATTTAAGAAAGGAAAGGAAAAAGACAAATGCACTGAGAAACCCATAAAATTCCCAACACTTTATAGAATTATGATTATGGAATCATCTTCTTTCAGCAGGACTGTGTCCCCTCCTTTCAAGCTGCCTGCTCGTGGCCCCATGCTCATGGGGCCCCTCTTAGTGACTGGATGGTTCCAAAAAAGGAATTTTACCAGGGTGTGGAATAAAACTTTGCTCACCAGGTTGTCTTTTTTGTGCTATTATAACACAAGTACTGAACAATTTATACATTGAAGTTAAGGTTTCACAGTTCTTGGGGCTGGGAACCCTAGATCAGGGAGATAGCAGATTTTTGGGGGGTCTGATGTGCATCAGATTTTTTTCCTCCAAGATGGAGCCATTTTCACTGCACCTGCCAGAGGGGAGGAATTTGTTCTTCGTGTGGCAGAAGAACCAAGGGAGTGAACCACTCCCACACACCCGAAAAAAGTAGAATGGTAGTGTGCTAATTCATTTATAAAGACGGAGTCCCTGGGGCCTAAACATATCTCCCAAAGCTCCCCTCCTAAGACAGCTTGTTAGGGAGGTAGTTTCCAATGCATGACATTTGGGAAACACACTCACGCCGTAGGGCCCAGTAAATCTCACCCCTTAAATTAGTGCCGTTATTTGCAAGAACGTCAAATAAATCAGCTATCCAGTCAAATGCCCTCCCAACCAGCAGAAGCTCAATATCATTTTTCTCTTTTAGCTTAGTCTTTTTTCGTATAAACCTCTGCATTTGATAATACTGCCTTTATATTATAGGGCAAAAAACCTTTTTACCCACCTGCAAACACAGTGTGTATGGAAATTTGTGGTTTGAAACACATCCCTCAAAGTTACAGGGATTAGGGAGGTTTATGGATTTAGGCTACAGCCATGCCACACTGTGGTTATGTATAAAATTTATTGTTGAGATATTTACTGGAGTTTTCCTAACTTAGACTAATGTATATTTAAATGTTTAAAATTCAATGTAAGATGTTTCTGTCACCAGTACACTGGTGCTGATTCACTGTGCATCTTGGCACCTGCAGTGTAATTTGTGAGAGATAGCCTGAGTCCTTATTCCTAGTGTGTGAAAAACTCCTGGGAAACTAACTGCACAGATCATCTGTGCTGTGCACAGAACCAGAACCAGGACCTCCAGTGCCCCTCAAGATGCGAACCTGTATCTCTCCCACAGTTGCCAGGACCTTACTGGGATGCAGCTCGTGGCCCTCCATGGGCTGCAGGACTTCCCTGTGCATGACGCTTATCCGTGTGGGAGCAGCCTGTGCGCTCAGAATGTTCAGCCTGTCTCCTCCCTCTTGAGTGTTCTGAGTTCCTGGGTGACACAGTCGCCTGCTCCTAGGTGCAGAAGAAACTATGCTGCACAGGCTTGCCGAGGCGAGGACGTCTCCAGAGGATGCTGTCTTACCTGTGCTGCTACAGCACAAGACCACAGACACACACTCTGTAAAGAACAGAACATCTTGCTTTTGTGTTTCCAAATTAACTAGGTTTATTGGTACAGTTCACGTATACATAATGATCACAGTCATTACGGGGAATTTGTACCTGTGCATGATGTAACTTGCTTCTGTTGTTCCCCTCCCACTTCCCTATCTTCAACCCCTCCTTTTTATTTTTTACAAAAACTTTGTCTCATTTTTTCCTTCTTTTTTCTTTGCTTTTTCTCCCCCTCCTCTCTCCATAGGTCGTCTTTCCATAACATTTCCCTTCCTGTTTTACAATATCTATCATACATTTTGGTCCTTATTTACACTTTTGGTTTCTCACACCAGAGAAACAATGTGGTGCTTACATGTCTGTGTCCGATTTATTTAAGAGTGTGATCTCAAGGTACATCCATTTAGCTGGAAACACCTCAGATTTATCCTTCTTTATGACTTGGTAGTACTCCTTTGTATAAGAAGCCACACCTTGCTTATCCCTTTAACAGTTGATGGGCATTGGGACTGAGAATGCATTTCCTACAGTTCTGAAGGCTGAGAAATTCAAGGTCAAGGCACTAGCAGGCTTAGTATCTGGGCAGATCCTTTCTCTTTTGCTAAGATGGTGATTTGAATGTTGCATCTTCCAGAAGAGAAGAGCACTGTGTCCTCACATGGCAGAAGGTGGAAGGCAAAAGGGCCGAAGCTGCTTCTGTTAAGTCCGAGTGTGCAGCTCCTAATGCCATCCACAAACTAGGGTCCTCCTGCCCTAACTATTTCCTAAAGGGCCGCCTCTTAGGACCACTACACTGGCAACACCTGAACTTGGGAAGAGCAGGGAGGGACAGTCATAAAACTCACACACTCAGCGTCTAACGCCAGAGAAAGAGAGGCTGGGGGTCTGGGGAGATCTGTGAATTTTACATCACGTGTTCTATTCCCTTGTACAAATAAATGAATTAATGAAAACAGGAGAAGGGAAAGGTAGCTGGAGAATTGCATCATGGGCCAGCAATGCCAATTATGATGTCATAAGAGGTGGAAGATGTCCAAGAAAACCAGGTGGCTGTCTCTTGAATGGCACCTGGAAGATGCAAGCCTCACTGAGTCCTGGCTTCTTTTCTAAGGCCAAAAGAGAAGCAAAGACTCATGGCTAAATGGAGCAGGCAGTGTTCTCTCCTCAGCATTCCTCGGATTGCGCGGGTGTCATTTAATTCCCCACCTGACTTAACTTTGCCATGGGTGCTTTGTCCCATGCCCTGGGCTGGGTCTTAAGGGAGGGAGGAAAAAAACATTTTTAATGAAATAGTCTTTGTGTTCACAAGTGTGCAGGGTGGGGTGAGCCTGGCCAGACCTATGGATGAGAGGATGCACCATGCGTTCTCTTTCCCCATTTTCTTCCCCACAACCCGCCTGCTCACTGGGGCTCTCCTCAGTTCCTCAGGTGAGGAGCTGCTTCTGCAGGCCTCCCACCCTCGTCTCATCCAGTGACCTCTCAGGACCCTGCTGGCCTTTATCAGAGCACAAAGTTGCTGGATATACATGTGCCTTTTTTTTTTTTTTTTTTTTTTTTTTTGTATTTTGAAAGTATATAACATAACAAGACAGAATAAAGCCAACTAAGATCGTACAGTGAAATTAGTACAGAACTTCTCAGCAGGTTACCGGGATAACAGTAATAGGTATCACAGTATATTTCATTATCCTTACAATAGTTCTTTCAATCACATATATCAAAATAAAATGAAACACAGAACATTATAGAACTTACCAAAACAGAATATTGAATAGAGCAGTACCATTAATCAGAAAAGAGCG